GCCTGCATCGACGACGCCTGCTCCCGGTACGACTGCTCCGGGTTCCATGACGACCGCTCCGGTTGGTACGACGACTCCCGTGACGACGTCGCCCGCATACTCGACCTCGACGCCTTCCCCGACCTCGGAAGACCCGGCATACCCTACTCCCGCGCCATCGGTTCCCGGAACGACTGTCCCGTTGCCGAGCACGAACCCGGTCCCGGCCGGTTGCACTCAAGTCAGCGTCGTCGGCGATGCCACGTACTGTATTACGGGCCCTGTGTGCTCGGGAGCTGGCGCTGTCCCTGCTGGCACCAACTGCCCGAAGCAGGGCGATGTCGCTGTCGCGGACTGCCTCAAGACACTGAAGAGCTACGTGGATGCGGGCAAGTGCGTCGCGCCAGTCGACGCTATTTGCCAAAAGATTCCGTCGGGTGCTTACGGTTGCGTTTTCCCGTCGTCGCCGGCCTCTACCATCCCGTCGAGCTACGTGCCTACGCCCGCTGCCTCGGTGCCGTCGCCGACGCCTGCCACCTCGGTCCCTTCGCCGACGCCGGCGGGTTCGATCCCAGCCTACCGCAACCTCCGCGCGTAAGCACACCATCCGAGAGTAGGATATTGATGTCCACCATGAGTGACAGACAAATGCATGCTTCTAAATATACATCATTTCATTTCACATGCGCCTTTTTGCGATCATATACAGATTATGTGTCTACAAACTTCACTCTAAGATGGCAAGTAGAGTCACGTGCTGCGCCTGAAGAAAGACATCCTCGCCAACATTGCCGCTGCCCGCCTTTTTGCCGCTCCCGAGGCGCCCCGTTTTTAGGCCGTACTAAGATCACGTTGCCGATCGTCCTGCACCGCGACCTCCAGTCGTTGACGCCGCCTCAGTCGCTGACGTCTCTCGAGGACCTCAACAAACTGCGTAGCTTTGCCGCCGATCGCGACGGCATTGCAAGGCCACGATAACGCCGGTGCCTACGTTGCACTCCACTGACGTGGCGACTGCGCGGCCGGTTGGTCGCGACAACAGCAGTGACCCACCTGGTACCGCTTCGCCTCGACGACCAGCGCAGCCGCACGGAACCGCACAGCCATAACTAAGATGACATACTGCAACGCTCGACCATGCCATCGCCCGTCTACGATAATGGCCGAGGCGACGACCGCGACAACTCGGTACGGATCGGGTACTCCAACGATGACGTCGTAGTAAAGCCGCCTGGCCACAACGCTGCCTGGCCAAGAACACGGCAAACGGCGGTAGCGGAAGCAGCGACATGGCCCCGCTCAAACACGATGAATGTGGCGACCGCGCGAGCCCGATCATCTACGACAATGGCAGCATCGCCGGTAGCATGGCACCTGCAACACGACATTGACTCCCTACTCACGACACGGCCTCTACGCGGCTTCGGCACTAACGCTACGAGGTTCCCGGACAGCGCGAGTGCTTCATTGCTGTGGCGACGTTCATCGATGCGCAGCGCGGTCGCGTCTCGTGCTTTGCTGCCCACCACCCGCAGGCGTCCCTTGTCCGCGACGACAGGCTGCCGTCGGTCATCGGGCCCGATAGCGGCGTCATATACCTTCGCTGGACGCATCTCGAGGTCGCCGATTCATTTTGGACGCCGACAGCGACGAGCCACGTGGCGTTGCGTGGCAGCGATGCCACTCGTTTTGTGCACCAATCCCTCTTTCGCTGCGCTGTCGACGGCTCTAGACCGGATCGATCCCGACACCCAACTTTCCATCGGCGTTTTTTGATATGAGGGCACCGTCGCCGACGTACCCAAGCGCGAGAGCGAAGCCTACTGCCCGCTAATGAATGCAGCACGTATCGTTGCTAAGAACACATAACCTCCCGCACTGTGCCCGAGACGACACCGCCACCGCGCATTTGACCGATTGGTGAATGCCGTGCCAAAGGAAGACACGATCGTAGTCGCGGCCCAGCACGCAGCTGACCTCGCACCGCTCGAGACAGTGACAGCGCTTCGTGACGCCGCGCCGTGGCGTCACTGCCTCCCGATGCAACCCAGACGTGCGTCGCCGCCGACAAGGCGACACGGTTTGAGACACCGCGCGGGCGTCCATAAGCTCTTGGGGGCCCGCGGGTATTTTCTATTCCACACGGGCGTCCTCTCGGCGTGCATGGCCCAACACCATCCATTAGCGTCGCTGGTCTACGCACCAAAAACACTTGCCAAAATGCGCTGCTTGCGGCGTAGGCACCGGTCGTGACCCGACCACGGTACGCCGATCTGTACCTCTGGTGGCCGACACGAGACAACGAGCACATCCACGTACAAACCACCGTCGACGAATTGCCGCGCACGGCCTTCTTTCCGTTGCGACTACTCTGTGTTTGGAGCCGCCGTGCCAAGCATGCAGTACCCCGAAGACATGTTCCTCTCCAAGCATGGGCCGTCGAACGTGCTGAAGGAGGCTAAAAAATGCTCCTCGGTCGCTGTGATGCCTACTGTGACCGCCCGGTTCCAGTAGCACGTCCTTCTCGGCCATACCGATAACTGTTGTCCTCCAACGTCTATGCACACGCTTCGAGTTAATGGATAGCTAATTTGTTTATAGTAGGTTATGTTGTGAAATGAACGAGAGCGGGTTACGCCTTGCTGAAGAGGTGCACGTCGTACCGGTGCTGCGAGTCGGCAAACTTGTCGTTCCAGTGCAAGCCCGCGCTCTGCACGAGGCGCTTCATTTCGTCCTCCGAGTACTTGTGCGAGTACGCGACGTGGATGAGCTCGTCCTTCTCGAGCGCAATGGTCTTCCCGAGGACGTGAATCGTCTGCGCCACAAGCGACTGCAAGTGAGCTTCGTGCCGGCCCTCGACGTCGTTGTAAATCGACTTGTGCTCAAACTTGGAGCGGTCAAAGACGGGCGCGTTGAAGAGGTGGTTCATGTGCGACAAGCTGTTGAGAACAAACTCGCGGTGGAGGCCGCTCGGGTCGTTGTACGCGGCCTGGACCGTACTGCCCTCCTTTCGGCGGTCAATGCCGACAATAAAGTGGTCGCCGGTCGCCATCGCCGTTTCTTGGATCGACCGCAGGAACGCCGCGGCCTCCGTGCGCACAACGTTGCCGATCGTCGAGCCGAGCCAGAGAAAGGTCTTGGCCGCGCTGTGCGGCGCGTGGTCCCGGAGCCACGCGAGCGAGTCGTCGTACGTGCCAAAGAGTCCGACAAACGAGATCGTCGGGTACTGGGACACGAGTGGCGCCAGCGCCTCCGTCAGCGACTCTTCGCTCACGTCGACGGCGTAGTAGGTCGTGTCGCGCTTCCCGGCGCGGACTATCGCGTCGAGCACGTGCGACGTCTTGCGCATGGAGCCGACGCCGAGCTCGATGAGGATGTCGCCGTCCTGGACGTGGGCGAGCATCGCATCCGCGGACGAAGCGAGGATGTCGATCTCGGCGTTCGTGAGGTAGTAGTCGTCGAGGTACGTGATTTGGTCGTAAATCTCGAGGCCGTGCGCGTCGTAGAGCACGAGGGACGGCACGTGGCGCACGGGCTTCTCGTCGCCATGGCTCACCTTCTCGGCGAGTCCGTCGGCAATGACGTGGCAGAGGTCTGGCGCGCTCGCGGCTTGCTTGGCGCGAATGTCAATCACCTGCGGCGCCATAATCGTCGTTGTTGTTGTGGTGTGTCGGGGTTGGAAAAATGAGGAATGAACCGAGGGCTCCACGGACGGAGACCGACGTCGTTGCCTTTGTTTGGATGGGTAGTACGGGTGTATTACCGAAACAAGCGCCGTCCTGTATACAATGGTTCGAGAAGCTACGTGCGAAGGACAAACAACCGCAAGAAGGGCTAGGCGTGGCGTGGCCTCCCGCGCCAAGATCATGACACAGTGAAACCGCTTCGTTTGATTGGCTGGCGAAAACAGATGTGCTTGGAGCCGACTTCGCGGCGGCCCCAAAGCGGCGCTCGTACGACACACATGGCGTGGTACCTATCTCACGGCGTCGCCAATCGGCGCGCGTGGGCAAGCCCCGTCATCGCCGCGACACAGCAATCTCAAATTTGTGGCTGATAGTCTCTGCGGTCAGCGTTCGCGTGACGCGATCCATGGAATTCACGGCTGTCAAGTGACAGAGGTCCTACTGTAACCGCCACGCATCTAGTTACGGTCGTCAAGTGACAGACTGGAAGCCAGTCAAGTGACCCTAAGCAACGTTTCACAGGGCCTCGTCACACCTCACACTACGCCTTGTGTAGTTTTATGGTGTGCTTTCTTCACGATCGCTTCTCTTTTTGACACCGATTTTGTCGACTGAAGCGCTCAGTCATCGCTGCGACCACGTGCGTCTTGGGCGCCCGCAACTAGCAATTCTAGTGGATTTATAGACTGCCATTCACTTGGCGCCGTTTTCTGCTCAACAGCGTCTACACGACCGCGCGGCAACCGCTACTGCGCTAGTGCTATGGCCACTCAGGCTTTAAAATCGGGAATGGCGAGATCCAACTGGGCGCCTTCGAGGGTTTTCTATTCCATGCGAGGTATTTTCAGGCAAAAGCTCTTAAAATGCCTGCAACTTGGCCTCTTGAGTTCCAGCGATGTTTTGGTGCATGAGTTGCAGTACCCACCGGTCCAGCTTTAGCAGCGTGTTTGGTCAAATGACGCACACTATAAATACCATCAATCATTATCGATCATTTGTCTCGAGTATCTCTGACACTATTACCTCGTGCACTGTCGAGTCGACCTTGAGGCGAGTCGCGGCACAAGCCAGGAGCCCGTGACGCGTGTCCTGAGTGACGTGCATTCCTGATTGACCAGCATTCTGCTCCCCATTCTCGAACGATGGTTGACGGGACAGTATACTCTGCATGAGGAGGACACGATGACACGGGACGAAGGATCCATGACGCTCTCCACCACGATCAAGCGCGCTGTGACGTCATGCAACTGATCCGATCATGCGAGCGAATTTCCGCGGAACGTGCTCCAGCCGCGCGAACCTCGCATTCACGAGTGTCCAGCCATTGTGCCAGTGATGCTCATTTTAGGATACGAGACGCTGGGCATGGTTCCAAGGTGGCTATAATCGCTTTAAACCCTCGGAAGCGATGTAGCGGGCGTATTGCCCACGCATCGCGATCGGAGGTCGGACGCGATTCGGACGCGAACTTTAAGTTTCGAACCTGGGCGCGCATCCTATTTTTGAACCAATACAAAGACAAGCGTCGTGGAGCGTCACGGGCGGCATTCAACGTCCCGCGCGCGAAGCCCATGAACCTCGTACTCGGCTCATTCTACATTTTGCTGCCAATGGTTTCTGCGCTTCTTCAAGACGACGCGATGGACCTCATCGCCAAGGGCCGGCTCACGGCGGACGAGTGGGACCGGATCCAGACGCTGCCGATCGCAGCCGAGGCTGTGACGCAGCTCGTGCACTTGGAGCTCGATGACATGATTGCCGACGCGATCGACGTGCAGCCGACCGGCCAGACGCTGTCGTCCGACGTCAAAGTCGCCGTTGTCGGCGGCGCCCTGGGCTTTGTGAACGCGCTCTGGCGCCTCGATAGCATGCCGCGGTCGCCGGCGCACGACGAGGTTGGTCCTGCGGCCATGGCGCCCATGCATCAACCATCGTAGGACAAGACGAGTCCCGTGATCGTTGCCATCTCGGGGCTAAAGGACGCGACGCTCGACTCGGCGTACAGCTGGATGGACATGAACCGCGCCGTCCGCCGCGTCAACTGGCTCAAGCTCGTGCCGTTTCACGGTGACGTGGCAACGTCCGAGCACGTTGTTGTCACGATCGACGGTTTCATGTCCCATGGCCGCAACCCACGGGACAATTGGGACGTCTTTTGCCAAACGGACGGTACGTGCGAATGGCGTCTACTCGATAGATTGATATTTCTGCACTAGTGGCGTGCTATGCTGTCGAGTGGGAGGCTGGCAACGTCGGCGACATCATCGATTGCGTCGGACGTGTCTTGACCATCGACAGCTTGGCGTCCCAGATCACCAGTACGGATCCCAAGTCCTACTTGCCCGTGCGCATGATGATCACATAGAGAACCCGTGGAACAGTGCGCAGAACAAGGCCCACCAAGTCGGCGCCGTCCTCGCCGAGCTCATTCTTTCCAAGCCAGCACTCTTTGCCCACCGCAAGGTGACAGTTGTCGGCCACTCGCTCGGCGGCGCCGTCGTCGCCAGTCTTCTGGACCACTTGGCGAGTGGCAATGAAGCCGTGGCGCCCGAGGACCGCGTCCACCTGCACCAAGCGGTTCGTTCGTAGAAGAAGATTTCTCTTTCAGAGCTCAGCGCTGCAGTTGGGTGTAGATGATGTTTGCTGCCGCGTTCGTGCCGCACCACGACTTTTCGCACGCCGCTGCGTACGACTTTCCGGATACGTCGCCCGCGCGCATCGTCAACGTCTTCTCGACCAAAGACGCAGTGTTGAAGCACGTGTTCCGCCTCGGCTCGATCCATGTGTGGCCGTCGGCGGCCGGGTGCGTCGGGATCCAATCTCCTTGGCTGCAGAGCGTCGACGTCACGGACATCGTGCCGGTGAGTCCCACGACGCTCCTCGGCCATCTCTACGAAGCCCACATGGATGAAATACTTAATCGCTTGCGGCGGTCGAGTCTCAACGACGTGGACATGATTGTCTAAGTTCTATCATCTCGTAGAGTCTATAACGGGAGGGTTAATTATATTCGTATCAAACGACATCTCTGGACGTCAAGAGCGAGGTTCGCACCGTGGTGTTTGTAGAAGGGCGGACTCTCTATGCGCTTGCGACGTCGACCGCCAATTCTTGAAGCCAAAGCGCCTTTCCGCAGACGGGCGGCTACGGACTTCGCCGGTACTCCTTTGCCCACGTCACTTGTACCTGGTACCTGGGTGTATCCCATTTGCATCATGTTCACGGAGAGCGCAGTCGCCGTTGCCGCGCTCGCAGTCGCGTACGTCTACTGGCGCTTTGGTCGCAATGCGCCATTCCTGCCAGGTGTGCCCTTTCCAGCGTCTCTCCACCAGCCCTTCTTGGGTGTCGCCGGGCTCCTCGGCTCAATCGACGGCTGCGACCGCCTCTTCGCCGACGCTGCGGACGCCAACGGCATGGTGTCGTTCCGGCTCCTCACGACCAACGCCGTCTCAGTGCTTAAGGCAGCCCACGTGCGTCAAGTCGTGTGTGCGACGAGCTACCGCGAAATGGTTCCGATCCTCGGGAACCACTTGCGCAAACTGCTCGGGGGTGCGTCGCTTCTGCTGCTGTCGCGCCACGAGTGGAAAGGCCATCGGCGGCTCATTGCCAAGGCCTTCCACTGGCAGAGCCTCGCACAAATGGTGCTGACGATGGTGGCAGTCGCCGAAGCGTTCGTCGACGTCGCTCTGCAGACAGCCGGTGGCGCGTCCGTGGATGTGGCACCGCTGCTCAAGCTCGCGGCGCTCGATACGATCGGTCGGTGCGCATTCGACTACGACTTCGAAGCGCTGGCCAACGGCACGAACGACGTCACGTCCGCCTTTGAGTTTCTTTTGAACGAAGCTAAGCGCCGCGGCTTTGACGACACTCTGCACCCGGCGAGTCTTTGGTATGACCTCCCGACACCGGCCAACCGACGGTACAAGCGTGAAGCACGCATCTTGCGCTCAACGCTCGAGTCGATCGTCGTCGCCCGCATGTCGGACCATGCAACAACCAAGCACGACCTGCTTGGGTCGCTTCTCGCTGCGGCCGCCGACGAATCAAGCGCCGTGACACCGACGACGCTGGCCGACAACCTCCTCACGTTCCTCTTTGCGGGCTTTGACACGGTCGCGATTGCACTGGCGTACGCGATGCACCTCCTCTCGACGCACCCGGACGTACAGGCCAAGGCGCTGGCCGAGGTCGAAGCAGTCGTGGGCCGCAGCGGATCCATCACATACGAAGCGATCGGACGCCTTCCATACGTGTACGCAGTCATGACCGAGGCATTGCGACTCTTCCCACCAGGACCTGGAACGAGCCGGACCTTGGAGGCAGATCTGGTCCTTGACGGCCATTCGATCCCGGCGGGCACGTTGGTCTACTTGCCGATCTGGGAAATCAACCGATCGCGCCTCAACTGGGGTGACGACGCCGATGCATTCCGGCCCGAGCGCCACGTGGAAGAAGGAGCGAGCGACGAGAGCTCCTCCGACCGCGCCTTTCGCATGATGTCGTTCTCGGCCGGACCGCGCAACTGCGTCGGCATGCGCTTTGCGATGCTTGAAGCTGTTGTTGTGCTGGCCACGACGCTACGTCGGTGCACGTTAACGCGCTCGTCGGACGCGCCGCCCGTGACGCCCAAGATCTCGGGCATTCTACAAGTGCCAGCCAACGGTGTCTGGGTCCGCGTCGCGCCACTGCCTCCGGGCGCGTAAGATGTGTGTAATGAAACTCAGTGCTTTGATGCGTTTACTGCTTGCTACATTCAAAATGATGATCTCGCCAACCACCGAAGGCAAGGTCGCTGCCTTGTGCGCACCAACTTGGTCGCTGGAGCTGCATGATGTGCCCGACTTTGGAGACGAGGGTTGCAGCGCCATGGACCGGTCAGATCGTCAGGAAGTAGGTACAGACCGGCCGTGACCGTACGGCGTCGTCGCGACATTGTTGCGACTGGTCATCTCGGTGCCGGGCGGTTGCCGCGTTGGCGAGCGAGATTACACGACAGTGCAATGGCGCTGGGCAAAGTCAAAAGCTCGACACTGGCTCGCAACGTCAAAAGTCGAGGCGTAGAAGCTGGCAAAGTCGAGTAGAAGCGAGATGGATAGAAGAAAAGGACTTGTCTTGACAAAGTAGATATTGACGATGCACAAGACGACGATGAGAGATGCTTAGGCCCAGCCGCCACCACCGTTGTTGTTGTTGTTGTTGTTGTTGTTGTTGTTGTTGTTGTTGTTGTTGGTGGTGGTGGTGGTGGTGGTGGTGTTGCCGCCGCCGCCGCCGCCGCCGTTGAAGAGACCGTAGCCGTTGAGGCAGTTTTGGTCGAGGCTGCTGATGGCGCCGCCGAGGTCGATGCCACCGCCACCACCGCCCCACGTGGCGCGCAGGCTCTGGGTCTCGCTGGCGGCCGTCGTCGAGTCGACGCACTCGAGCACGGCGAGAGCGCATACGGTGGTCTTAATCATGATATTCAAGCCCGAGCGCCACCTGACGACGGACGTTTCCGACAATCATATGAGTGCAAAAGACCGGGCGTATGGCTTCATGACCTTCTCGGGCGGCCCGCGCAACTGCGTTGGCATGCGCTTTGCGACGCTCGAGTCGACGTGCATGCTCGTGGCGATCCTCCAGCAGTGCATTCGGACGCGCCCAAACGACGCACCGCCGATCCAGCCCACGCTCGTTGGTATCGTGCGAAAGCCAGAGCTCAGCGTCTGGCTGCACGCAGTACCTCGCAGGACCCCAAGGTTTGCGTAATAATGTAATTACTTCTTATTAGGTCCCGAGCAGGGTGGGCGAGTAGGAACTTGTTTGCTCCGGAGTCTTTTGGTTGAATTTGACGTCTGCGCTGCACCAAAATGAGAATTCCCCTTTCCCGCAGGCTTAGAGCTAACACTTGGTCGACGGATGGATCTTGGTCCTCAAATGCAGTCGACACAGGATGCGCCAAGGTCAGCGTGCCTTGTCCTCCGCTGCTTCGAGCACCGATGACCACCCTGCTCTCTGCCGCACGAGCTAGAAAGGTTGGTTGAATAGCACTCCGTTTCGTCTCATAGAACTACCAGGTATGAAGCCAGCTGCATGATGCACAACTTGACATTAGTTTCGTGTCCTCACGAGCGCACCCACAAGCTGGAATGGCAAGTGGAAACCATAATACCGTGCTGTGGTGTCAAATGCAGCACTCGGATTGGTCAATGCAAAGCCATGGCTCGAAATGCACCAATCCGCGTTCAGGAAGGGCGGTGGACTGGATCTCTCCAGTCGCCAATCACCTTGCACTGGGATGGACCGGGACAGCAGCACCGCCCGCGAGCCGTACGAGCGCGTGACGGTCGAGAACCTCCGAAAGGAGGTCGCGCGGCGCAAGCTCAAGCTCATCAAGCGGGGCCCGGACTCGAACAACACCAAGGAATGTCTCGTTCAGTTGCTGCGCGACAACGACCGTGGCATCGACCAGCAGGTTGTCGGCTGGCGCCAGCGACCCAACGACGAGGTCGGTCGCAGCCCCGTGCCGCGCATCGCCGCTGCTGTTAGCGTGTCAACCGACCAGTTCCGACCCGTGCCGCCGGCGCCTATACTGCTGCCAATCCCTGTCTTTTCCAACGCACCGTCGCCGATGATTCGGCCGCGGACACATGGGTCTTCGATAACACCATGCAATCAACCGCCGAATGTACCGCTGCCTGTAGCGGTGGCAGCCCCGGCGCCGCGACCAGCGACGACCTCCGCACCGCGCCCGACGGCGGCCAGTCGCACACCGCACTCGAGCGTCGACTATTCGATGGCCGAAGTCATGACGTCTCTCCTCAAACGGCGCCGGTCAGACGAGTCGGACGAAGAGCAGTTGGACCACGCAATCAAGTCGCTCGATATGATCTCGCGGGCCTTGGTGAGCGTGAACTCGGTGATCGCAAACCTCCGCGACGAGCTCGTACACACGACCGAGCGCAGTGACGAGCACGAGTGCATGGTCGCGACGCTTGGCCACTTTAAGCGCGTGCGGATGGAGTTCCTGAAAGAGACACAGCACTTTACGTGGGTTTCCACGCACGCGATGACCAGCCCACAAGCCCAAAGCCGGCCGCCGATCAACAATGCGCAACCGCCAACCTCGATGCCACGGACGTCTTCGTCGTAGCCGAAGACGCTCTCGTCAACGGTCGTCCGTATTAATTAATGCAACCACTGTACCAGTCGAGACAACGCTGGTATAGCACGCAGAATCCGAGCCGACGACGCAGTCACGAGCTGCGCATATCAAGTTGTTGTCTTGGCGTCACCGCGCGTCGCCCAAAGAGACGATGCAGCAACAGTCACTCACAACATCGTCGACACACGCAGGGCGACGATGATGACGATGGGTGTCGGTGATGCACAATGTTTAAAGAAGATCATTTACGATGTGATACAAAAATGGGGTCGCTTCTTTGTGGCTGGACGCGTCGTCGTCGGCTTGGTCGTGGGTTGCTTTGTCGGCTTGGTCGTCGGCTTGTCGTTGGGCTTGGGCGAGTTGCCGCCGTCGAGGGCGTTCTTAGGGAGCTTGTTGATGCTCTTGAGGTCCTTGACAATCTTATCCATCTTGGTAGCGCCGTTGAGGCAGCCGCCGCAAGTGTGCAGTGCGATGACCGAGTTGTCCTTGGCACTTAGCACCGGCGACCCGGACGAGCCACTCTCCGTGTCGAGCATGTAGCCCACTTCGTCGTCGACGGACGAGGTGTGGCCCATGTCTTCGATTGTCCCCGGCTGGCCATTGTCGAGCTTGGCAGCAATGCGCTTCGGCTTGCCGCGGGGTGCTGCGGGATGTAAATCTCTTCGCCAAGGACAGGCCCCGACTCGCGCGCCGTGAGGTAGCCGTACGAAGCGAGGTTCTTGGAGTTGATTTTGACGAGCGTGTAGTCGAGCGCCTCGTTGGTGTGAATGAACTCGACGCTCAAGGCGACGACCTTGCCCTTGCAACCGAGCTTCTTGGTGTTGTTCGGGTCATTGCAGGTCGCGCACTCGGCGTCAAACTCAACTAGGACGTTCGTGGCCTTACTGGCGTCGCCGATACAGTGGTTGTTGGTGATCAAGTGGCCTTCCGAGCCAAAGAGCCAGCCGGTGCAGAGCCCAGAACCGTTGATGAAGAGACGCGCGACGGCCTGCGCCTTCTTGTACTGCGTCGGCTCCTTGTCCTTGAAGCAGATGGCGGCTTCCGTGTCGTCCTTGCCACAAATGGACTCGGGGTGCTTCTGGCTGTTCTCGGGGAACCCACTGGCGTACCGGTCGATCGAGATCACGGGCGACGCCCCCTTGCCCTCTGGCGGCGCGTGGTACGTAATCTTGGCGGCGTCACCGAGAATGAACTCGGCGTAAAAGTCGCTGTGCTTGCCTGTGTACGTGACCGCGTTCTGGCCATCCGGCGCGCTCACCGTGACCGATGCGCCGTGCGGCAAGTCGAGCTCGTTAAAGTGCAGCGCAATGTACGTCGCCTTGTCGTGCGTGATGGTCTTGGTCGAGACGTCGGCCGACAGTGTCAAGTTGTAGCTCTGGTCGGCGCCGATCTTCTCGACCGACTGGAATTGTCCCATCGCACTCGACGCGAGGAGACCCAAGCAAACAGCGAGCTTGGAGACCGAGAGCATGGTGGCGATTGTGTCAAGAAGAAGTGAAAACAGAATGAATGAGTTTGTTGTTTGAGCGCCGACACAGATACCCTCTCATAGATCTCAAGAGCGCTGCGTGACATTCCAATTTGACGAAATGTAGCATCCTTCCTCCCCATGCACAGATGCCTTCATAGTCAAGTTGAGATAAAACTTAATGGGTTCATCAGCAGCAATCCATGATGAGGTTTTCATTTTTATGGATCCTGGTGAGCTCCTCCTCCAGATGGTCCGGACGGAGAGGTGTTTGCATGCTACATGCCTCCCTCACCTTCCCTTACCCCAGGGACTGGTAGAACATACCTTCGTACCCCCAAAACCCCCTGAACCCGGCGCTTTGATGAGCATGAGTACCCTCAAAACCTCCAAACCCCGTTGGTGCAGATGTTGCCGCATTACATACAGCTCTTTTCTGGCAAATCAAAACCCGCTAAACCCCTCCGGACCATCTGCTCTTTGTGCATTTAGGCGTTTCCGGATCGAGCATCGGCCAGGGTTCACTTTTTGTATTCGGTGAAAAATAAAAGTGGATCGGGGTCGCCCGGATCTGTACATTTCCAGAATCCATTAAGAGACTTGCCTGTTGGCAATAGATCTTCAACGATTCGGATCGGTAGACTTGGTGTAAGTATAATATAGAGAAAGGAGGTGGTTTTACAATGGCTGGCCCGAAAGGGCTCACTCCAAATTTGGTAGCCTGGTTTCCACCTGCCTTGCACGCTTTTACGCGCCGCAACGCTCTCTTGCCTTTGTCTTGGCTGACGCCTCTGCAAGTGCTTTTTACAAGTCTCTAATCCATGTCCCGAGGTGTATTCCGGCCAGAGCCAAGTGGATCGGGCAATTTTATATTAGAAAAAAATACAGCCGAGGTCAACTACTACAGCATGGCCGAGTCTCGGCCCAAGGCGACAAGACTGCGTATTGTACGCGAGTTCCAGAAATGGTGCGTGGCCCGAGACCCCGCCGATCCCGGCGGTACCGTGTGCGGACAAGCTCTCCACCTTTTTCTCGAGACACAAGTCGTCGGGCGCAAATCGCGTGCCAAGGGCGACGTGGAAGACACCATCGGCATCTCCATGATCAGGCAGTGCACGAACGGCATTGTCAGCTTGTGGGTGGAGCAATGTCATCTGGGCAGGAACTCGAATCCTCATCCACGTACCAGTGCCGTCGTGCACTGCTCAATCAAGTCAAGGCCGCCGAGGACGAGCACAAGCGCGAAAACTACGAAGACCGCGGCGCGAGCACGCTCTTGGATGACTACACATCTATTGAGCAATTTACAATAACTGGAGCGTACTTTTGGCCCTTAACTTGTTGCGATGGTGTTAGACTTCGCGATTGGGTTGGCGTCGCACTCTCACACTACTACCTACTCTGCGGTGAGACGGTTCGAGATGGACAATGCCTCACCAGGTGGACCGCCGTGGCCTGCGTCGACGTGCCCTTCTCAAGGTGCGACCTCTGATCCGCCCTCTGATCCGTCGACCCCTGCACCAACTACCACGTATACTCTAACAGCCGCACCGGTCCCTACGAGGACCCTCGTTGGCAAGCCAATCAAGACTCGGTACAAGATGACTCGTGTGCTCATGCCGGACCTTTGGCGCGAGTGGTTCACGGCTCCAATGGTGGTATGTCTGTCGTCGCCATCCAGCAGTCACCAAATGCCACGCGGCACGATGAAAACGAGCGGCGCTTTTCCAGCAGGCGCATTTGCTGCGTGCAATCATTTTCCTTGTCCGTCAACATATATGACGAAGAAGCCGTGAAGCAGCTCGAGGAACGGCGGCTCAAGCTGGGAAAGAGAAAGAGTTTGGACTGCATCGCAAAGAACACGGCCGACTTTCATCTAGCCATTAAAACCATTAATAAATGCTTCGCAATGTGACACAAGAGCGAGCATCAAAGTAAATGGCGGCATCGATGGCATCCATGGAAATCCTGAATCAAATGCCGTGTCAAATGCTGTCTTAAATGCTGTTTTAAACGCTGTTTCGAGTCTGACGTCGTGATTCACGACGTCAGATTCTCATTTGGTGTGCCAATATACAATGTGGGTGCATCTCGAACAGGAGGGGGTTTCAAAATAGAATCGTGGTGAACTCCGTGGCGTGGATCCGGCAAATACTGCGCGATGATTGGCCAAAATTGTTGACAAAATCGACGCGATTTCTTCCCTGCCACGGAGCCTGCCAAGGCCGTTTTCGGTCTGTGAGGATCATCCACGAATGTGGCCGAAGCCGCCATCAAATTTTACAGGTTGTACGGCACTCAATTTTATGGCGCCGAAAAAGGGTGCCGCAGCGCCGCAAGACGGTGTGTTGAGAAATCGCTTCGTCTAGTGCGTGAAAGGCTGGTGGGCTCATCCGCAGCTCTTGCCGGAACCTGGCGTCGTCGAGCGAGTAGAGGCAGAAGAGCCGTGGCGACACCTGAGGACCGCCGTGTCGGTAGACGCGAGGCGTGAGGTAGCGCGACGCCATCGCACGCCAGCAGTTGAAGAATGACGATGGACGTAGGCGCTGTCAGGAAATCGATATCCACGTTGTCATCCGTATCGAGGTCGTTGAGCACGGAACGCAGCTGCTCCGAGGGGCTAAAGAAGAGGTACGCGACGGGGCCTCGTACAACAGGCGCTGGCGCTCGGAGATACGTGGCATCACGCCAAGTGGACGAATCAAAATATGCAGGTTCTGACAATTTGGCCTCCGGATAATATCCGAAGACCCAACGTATTTTATTGGCTAATAATCCGCTGATTTTTCGGGGTTGATCTACCACGGAGTTCACCACGATTCTATTTTGAAACCCCCTAGGATTCACGACTCGTGAATCCTGTTCGAGATGCACCCACATTGTATATTGGCACACCAAATGAGAATGGGAGCTGAGGGAAGGATGAGAAAGCCGAATATCCAAGGGTAATTTCGATTCGATTCATCCACAGGACTGGTCACCACCACGCAGGTTGAACTAGTCGACAAGCATCCATCACGGGCGTCGTCCAGGCGCTCTTACAAATTCTGGCCAACGCCACAGTCGAATCAAGCGTTTTTTAACCATTGAAATCGCTTCTTAAATAAGGTGCACGGCGTCACCCACCGTGCGTCTCCCAAAGAGACGAAGCAGCAACAGTCACTCACAACATCGTCGACACACGCAGGGCGATGATGATGGCGATCGGTGTCGGTGATGCGCAATGTGGAAGTAAGCTCCCAGCATTGCGCAAAGGTTATTCGGAACCGCCATATCATGATGCTGATGCTGATGCTAGTCGCTTTTCCAAGGTGGGACAGTATTGCTTGAAGATCCGGCGGCGCGTGTCTGCCGCGGCGAGGCGGCGTCGTCAACGTACCGGTACTGGTACAGGAGAGGTACGGAGTGCACCCATCGTCCCAGACCACGTGCAATTGCACCACTGTGGTCCGCAGGACCGTCGCTTATGCTACACATCGTGCAGTCTTATTCGAGATGACCGTCGTGATCTGATTGTTGCAGTGTCTTGATCTAAAGTCGGCAGGCATCTTGTCTCTTGTCCACACAGCGCCGGCGCGCTCCAGCGTCATCGTGTGTTGACCGAATCTGGCCATTTGCTTTTAAATTGCTTTGTTAAATTGATCTTCATTACAATCATGTTTCGCCTGCGACACGCAGCTGCTCTCTGCATAGAACCGAATTCAGTCAAATTCTGCCAAAAAGGGTACCCTTGGTCGGTCACCACCACGCTTCAAGGCACATTCTCAGACGTTCTACGACGCGAATCGCAGCAAATGAGACTAATATATATCAACGCATCCATCGATGTGATCTCTTGGCCACACAGGATGTCGTGGTCCGACTGTGCTTGCTTGCCACCATGTCGCGCTTCGTAGTGCAAAGGATGTGCAGACCCCTTCTTTTGTCACCAATCTCCGCTTTTGTCACAAATCTCCAGTTGTGTTTTTTTCAAAAAGGCCATTCGTGCCATTTGCGAGATTCCTGCCTCGTGCCCAGCCCACACAACCGAGTTCCCCGTCGATGGCGTGTAGTGACAATGAATACCTGACGCCAAGCTGCAACCCGGAAGAGTTTTACATTGCTCTCTGCACGGTCATCTGCCTCATCTGCCTAGCCGGCATGATGGCCGGGCTGACCATGGGCCTCCTCTCGCTCGACAAGCTCAACCTCCAGATCCTCGAGCTCCAGGGCTCGGAGGTCGAGAAGCAGCGCGCGGCGAAGCTGCTCCCGATCATCCAGCGCCACCACTTGCTGCTCGTGACGCTGCTCCTCTTTAACGCCGCTGCCAACGAAGCGCTGCCCATCTTCCTCAACCGACTCGTGCCCGAAGCGCAAGCGGTCGTCATCTCGGTCACGTGCGTCCTCTTCTTTGGCGAAATCATTCCGTCGGCGCTCTTTACAGGCAAGGCGCAGCTCACGATTGCGGCTGCGCTTGTGCCGCTCGTCCGTCTCTTGACGCTGATTGCCTACCCGATTGCGTGGCCCATCTCGAAGGCCCTCGACTTTCTGCTCGGCGAAGACCACGACAGCACGCGCTACAAGCGCAAGGAGCTCAAGGCGCTCGTCGCGCTCCAGAACAACTCGCCACCGTTCAAGATGCCGTCGCAGTCGAAGCTCCAGTCGTACAAGGACATGGCGCGAGCCAACTATGGCACGTCGTCGCCGACCACGACTGCGCTACCGACGCTCCGGAGCGCGTCGTCGTCGGACGATGCCTCGTCGCCCGAGGCGATGCTGCTGCCGGCGTCGCCCCACGCAGTGCGCACACCGCTCTACTCGGTCACTGGCACCAACTTGCACAATGACGAGGTGGCCATCATCCACGGCGCGCTCGACATGTCGACCAAGACGGTGCAGATGGTCATGACGCCGTTTGACCAAGTGTTTATGCTCAACGTGGACATTTTACTCAACTTTGACGTGATGACGGACATCCTCGCAAGCGGCTATAGTCGCATCCCGGTCTACAAGAACCATCGCACCAACATTGTCGGCATCCTCCTCGTGAAGCGCCTCATCGTGCTGAGCCCCGACGACCTCAAGCCACTCAAGGACCTCATGCTGCGCCGCCCGAACCTTGTGACGCCCGACCACTCGTGCTACTCGATGCTCAATGTGTTTCAAGAAGGCCGCTGCCACATTGCGCTCGTGACGCCGCAGAAGGAGATTGTGCAGCAGTGCTGGGCCTCGGGCCAAGACATTGACCCGGACGTGGTGACCATCTCGGGCGTCGTGACGATTGAAGACATTCTGGAAGAGATTATCATGGAGGAGATTGCGGACGAGAGCGACGTGTCGGTCTACCAGCTCGGGCCAAAGCGCGAAGAGCATGCGACGCTCTTGCGCCAGCGCGGTGTGCTCCGTGCGATCAACAAGTTCAAGGAGCTCGGAGATCGCGCCAAGATGCGTCGTGGCTCACCCAAGAACGGCAACGTCGAGGTCGACCCTTCGGCGCTGCTGATGTGCGTCGACTTGACGACGAACGAAGTGACGCCACTCCTCGCAGCCTAAATCGTTGCATAGTATGTAGCTAGAAACTTATTCCATGCTAGAATCCATCTGGTTGCACTTTGCATCAACAGCGTTTCGTGCTGCCACGTCATTGTTGCGATCTTGCAGCGCGGAAGCCGTTGCAGGATCTTTTTGCCAAGCGGCGCGACCGACGCGATGTCCGAGCACCACGGCAGCGACTACTGCGGCCGCAAGTACCTCACGCCGAGCTGCGACCCGTACGCGTTCTGGCTTGGCACGGGCGTGGTGCTTGCGCTCATCTGCCTCGCGGGTCTCATGGCTGGCCTCACCATGGGCCTCCTCTCGCTCGACCTCCTCAACCTCCAGATCCTCCAGCTGGAGGGATCGCCAGAAGAGAAGGTCCGCGCCGGCCGTGTCCTCCCCGTGATCCAGCGCCACCACCTGCTGCTCGTCTCGCTGCTCCTCTTTAACGCCGCCGCCAACGAAGCGCTGCCCATCTTTCTCGCGCGGCTCATGCCCGAAGCGCAGGCGGTCGTCGTCTCGGTCACGTGCGTGCTTCTGTTTGGTGAGATCCTCCCGTCCGCCATCTTTACCGGCAAATCGCAGCTCGCGATCGCATCGTACCTCATGCCTGTCGTCCAGCTGCTCATGATGCTGGCGTCGCCCGTCGCCTACCCCATCTCGAAAGTGCTCGACTGTCTCCTTGGTAAAGACCACAACGGCACGCGCTACAAGCGCAAGGAGCTCAAGGCGCTCATCACACTGCAGCAGCAGACGCACCCGTGGCCGCTTGCGCCGCACCCCCAGCGCCGCTTGAGCCAAGTCGGCAACATGATGTCGCCGTCGCCGAGCAACTATCACGGGTATGGCACGCATCTGCACACGGACGAAGTCACAATCATCCACGGCGCGTTGGACCTTACGACCAAGACGGTGGCCGACGTCATGATCCCGTGGGCCGACGTCTTCATGCTCGACGAAGAGACCCTTTTAAATGCCAACACACTGGCCGAGATCTTGGCGTCCGGCCACAGTCGGATTCCTGTCTACCGCGGCGACCTCATGAACATTGTGGGCCTCCTCCTCGTGAAGCGGCTCATCGTGCTGGACCCCGCCGACGCGCGACCGATCAAGGATCTCATGCTCAAGAAGCCGATGGTCATTTCGCCGAGCTACTCGTGCTACGCGCTTCTTAACGAGTTTCAGAAAGGCCGGTCGCACATGGCGCTTGTGACGGACGACGTCGAGCACGTTCAGTTTTGCTGGGTCGCCAACCACGACCTCTGCAGCGACGTGCGCTTCATAGGCATTGTCACAATCGAAGACGTGGTCGAGGAGCTCATCCAAGAGGAAATTGAAGACGAGGCCGACCTCGGCAAGTCGCTCTCGCACTCGTCGCGCCACTTGATCGAGACGCGCGAGGTCGGTGTCGTGCGCTGCGTCGCCAAACTCAAAATGCTCGCTGGCCGCGCGCGCCGCCGCGTGTACCAGCGCTACCACTCGTCGCCGCGGCGAAAGTCGTCGAGCACCAATAGCCCGAGCGGGTTTCAGTCGCCGGGCAAAGCTGCCGCCTTCTCGGCGACCGAACGCACCCCGCTGCTCGTCTCGGTCAAAGTGGACAGCTCGCCGAGAGTCTCGGACGCGTAGACGTTCAATCGCCGTCGTTGCTCGTATGACAAGGTCGTACAAAGCACCGATATATAAATATACCAATGGAATCTACCGGTAGCTCTGCACTCGCACTGGCCATTGTAAGCCCCTACTTGTACGCCTCGATCGGGTTGTCGTCGTCGTGGGCAATCGCCACACCGATACCCGCGGTCACTTGACCTTGGTGTTTATCCGGATCATTTCCGAAAGTACGATGTATTGGTGACTGTGTGCCTTGGAGCTGGGAAATCTTATTTGGCACACTCCCATGCTCGGATGGAAAGGTACCGAGGGTGTGCAGTATGTATAAAGACCGTATACAACGCCTTGGTGACGTTGTCGTCGGCGACTCGTCGATACCGGCGGTCACTTGACCGCAAATGCTATCCGGATGGAAAAATTCTACGGAAGATCCAATGCACCAGGGGTATATCCTTGACTGTGAATGCACTTTGCACTTGAGGAGGAAACGTGGGGTGGGCCACGTCGGGTTCTTAGTTAGTCTATGTACGCATGTGCTTACGCTGCAACGTGGTGCCGGGGCACGGGAAGGTACATGCCCATGTACGTCGCGCGGTCTTCGAGGAGCCGTAGCGGGACCGCGATCTTCCCGAGCGAGAACGGGTACTTGTGCTTGCTGCTCTTGGGCGGAAACGTGTGCGGCGAGAGCGCCATGAGCACAACGTCGTGCTTGGTCAGCACTGGCAGCGCCGAGCCAGGCCACACGTGCACAGAGATGGATGCGTCGTCGAGGTAGTCGACGAGGATCGCGGGCAGCTGTCGCAGCTGCAGCTCGAGGCCCACCGTGTAGCGATGGTGGCCGTCCAAGATCGCGCCGGTTTGGCGGTCTACGAGGAGCGGTTCGAGGTACCCGCCCCACGTCAGCGTCGCGGCGGTGAGACTCTCGATCTTCTCCCGGCTCACGATGGCTTCGTGGGGCTTGAGCCACTCGATCTTGACGAGGTGGATACCCGGTCCCGCGCTCAAGCACAAATGGTGCTGCGGCGGCTTCATCGTCAAGCGGCCGTAGAGCGACTGGTCCTCTAGCATACTGATCGTAGCACGCGTCGCTGATGGCGTGTCGATGCACGTACCAGTGGGGCACAGCGGGCACGGGCCCGGCGTCCCGCTGTGGTCGCATGTGACGGGAAGGAACTTCATCGATTTGGCGCAGGAGTTTCAGAGTGTGGCCCTTTGTGGCTGCTGGCAACAAGAACGTTCGAATCGAAAGACTACATTTGGAAAGCTTATGCGGAACTGACTAAGCTAGAACAGGCTTGGCACGGCGCGCGGGGGGCGCGACGACGTCGGCTGTCGGCGCCTCGGGCAGCGGCGCGACGAGAACATCGTCTAGCGCGGTGTAAGATGGACAGCGTACAGGCCATGAACTACGGCTACCTGGCGCGATCGGCAGTTGGGCTTCGAAGGCGGCGGCCTCGATCTCGGCCAGTTCGGCCAACACCGCATCTTCGTCTTGGGTCGAGAGCGCGCCACCGAGAATGCGGCTGATCTCCTATGACAGGTAGAGCACGATGAGCAACGATAAGGCTCAAAGCGGAGGGCAGACGTCGGCATGCGCCTGCGCCTCTTGCGTCTCGAGCATGAGGTCCTCGACGGCCTCGATCGTCATTTCCTTGTGGATCGCATCGAGCACCGAGTTGCCGGCCTTGAGCCCTTCAAAGATCTACATATGTAGAAAGGTGTTGCGCGTGAAGGGCTGTGACATGGCATGGACCTGGAGCTGCTGGCTTTCCCACTCGACGCTGCCGATCATTTGGTGCACGTTGAGCAAATGCGTATCGGCCTGCTCGATCTGCTGGAGTTTGAACTTGCGCATCTTAAGGCAGAGCATCGCGCGGTCCTTTTGCTTCTTGGCGAGGAGCTGGCGGGCCTTGGACTCGAGCGTCGCGCTCTCGACCTCGAGCGCCTTCTGATACTTCTTTAGGCGGTCGCGTGACGCCTTGAGCTCGAGCATCGCCTTGTCCTTCGAAGAGACCTGCTGCTGCGCCTTGGCACGGTTGGCAGCGTGGCGCTCCGCGGCCGCGTTCGCCGGCGCCGGCGTCTTCTTCGAGAACACCCCGCCCATCGCGTTTGATGCTCAAAATTTTAAAAATGTTGAATTTCAGGTTGAAAAAGTCAGCTAACGGGCCCTACCCATTTCGGATCGGTCGCCACCGACATCGTGTAGCTCGATTGCAGACAAGGGCTCGTATCTAGCGCAAGATGGTATCTCCTTTGAGCTTCTTGCAGGCATAAGCATGCTCTGTACGAGACTCGCATGCTGCGCTGATGTTGCCATGTCTCGATTACGGCACCCTGGTCCCCCCACCGGGTCCCACTGAAACGAATAGAACACGGCCGGGTGGAGCGATGGCGTTGATAGCGTCTATAGTCACTATAGACTGTGCGAAGCGCAGTAAGCTATGATAAACAACGAATGTAGTTTGGCACAGATGCTAGCGCGGCTCGTGATGACGTGGAGCAGTGCTGCGGGAAGACGTTTATTTAACCTTCACTGATAGCCAAGTAGGGGGCCGTACAAAATAAAATGATGCTAACTGTCAAAACAATAAAAGACATCGGTCGGCAGCGAGATTGTGCGTGGCAGGATGGCAGACGACGACGAGGCAAGGCTGCTCGCGACCACCCCGTACTACGAGTCGTGGCACGGCAACCAAGACTTCTACCGACGCGGCGCCATCGTCGTGAGCAAGACGCAGTGGAAGAACTGCGTCGGGACCGTCCTCTTCATCACGGCGGTCATCGGTCTCTACATCTACGTCGTGTCCGTCGCCGCCTCCATCGTCATGGCTCACGAGGCGTGCGCTGCGAACCTATAGGATGGTCACGTCGCTCCCGCTCGCGTACATTGGCGTCACGATTCCAGGCTACATCAACGCGCTCTACTGGTTTGCCAGGACGGCCTTTATGGACCCCGGTACGTCACCCGCACCACTACACCAATGCCTCATGGCCGTATCGCAGGCTTTGTGCCCAAGCACTACGAGCAACAGCGCGATGCGCCGTCGACCGCGAACAAGGACGACGAGCCCGACCGGTTCTGCACGTTTTGCGAAGTACGGCGACTCCCATCGTCATTTTACTCGTGCGATTTGGAGTCTGCAGGTGCCCAAGCCGCCACGCCGAAGCCACTGCCGCGTCTGCAACTGCTGCGTCGACCAGTTTGATCACCAGTACGTTCTCGTCTTGGTATCAATAGAGCTCACATGAGGCGCGTCTAGCTGTCCGTGGTACACTCGTTGGTCGTGATGCTCGTCCAGCGCCAACACGTGCGCCTACTAGGACAGGCAACTGCGTCGGGAAGCGCAACCACCGCGTCTTCGTCGCCTTCCTCGTCGCCCTCGTCGTCCTCGATCTGTACGTGGCACCAATTGCTGGTTGCGTTGGATCAATCTCGTCCTTTGGATAGATTTATGTTTGGAACCCTCGTGGCCTTTACGATCCAATTTACCTTTCTCGAGGACCATGGCCTCCGCGCCTGTACTCTTCCTCCACTATCCAAGTATTCAAGTATCCAACTGTTTTGTATAGTCATGGACCGCTATTGGATCGTGCCCGTGGCGCTGTACGCGACCGGCAGCACGCTCGGCCTCCTCGGAGCGTTCCTCGCCTACCATCTGCAGCTCATCTCGAAAAACATGACGACGAACGAGCTCATTCGTGCTCGGACAGCACAGGTGCTCGCGGCCATCAACGCAACGCCCGAAGAAAACACCGACAACGACGACGACGACAACCGCCGGCGCCGGCCGTCGGCGTACGCCAACTGGCGAGCCCACTGGCACCGGTTCCTCACGGCGCCGACACCTCCGAGGTACGGCGTCTCCTCTCGGATGTTCTCCTCTTCGCCTTTGCTCATGCTTGGCACCTTTGTAGCAAAGTCCTCGAGTCGCGTGCGACCGCAGCGCCTTCCATTGTCATTGTTTAAAACCAAAATCAACGACATGTCTACGACGACGATGTGTCTACGACGACGACGACGACGAGGCGAGCGCGACGGCCGCTTCAAAGAGCGCGACGGCGTCGAGCGGGTCTTCAGGGAAGAGCGGGTTGTGCGTCGCCGGCACAAAGTGGTACTCGAGCGGCAAGGTCGCATTCGGCGTGTTCCACGGCGTGATGGCCACCATCGCAAATCCAAAGGCAGCGCCGGTTGCCATGGGCTGCGGCACGAGCGGGTGCTTCTCGAGGCCCATGTTGAGCGCGTCAATGTACACGGCAATCTACACCCGGGACTCAGATCTCAGATCGAAGGACCGCAACAAGACGCACCGAGTTGTACACTTGGCCGCCCGGAAACGAAAAGAACTGCTGCTCCTTGCCGAGGTACCCACCAAAGGCGACCGTCTGCGCGAGGTCGTGCATCTGGATGAAGCTCGAGAAGACCGAGCACGTGCTGCCGCAGTAGCCGTGCGAGACCAAGATGACGTCCTCCTTCGGGAGACCGGCAAAGCTCGTGCCGGGGGCTTGGAAGAGCGCGTCGTAGCCCGAGCAGCCGTAATAGACACCTTGGCTCACGTTGCCGAGCGTCGGGTGCGTGTTGTGAACCTAGGACGCGCGCACTTGCATCGTCGGACGGTCTGCGTTTTTTGATAGTGTACCTGCGACGTCATCCACGACGCGTTGCGGTACTGGCGCTTGGTCTCGGCGCTGAACCACTGGTTGGGCACCCACTCCGAGTGCGCGAGCTCCGGGTTCGTGTGCGAGATGCGCTCGCCCTGCTCGGCGAGCATCTCAAAGAGAGGCGTTTGCTTGAGATGGTAGATGGCCTGGTTGTGCGGCCCGACGCCCTCGAGCGGTCCAAGCGGGTCGAGGTTCGGGAAGAGGTACCGGATCGTCGCGTAGCCGAGGCAGATGTCGCCGCCGCCGTTGCCGCGCAGATCCAGCACGAGCTTCTTCCCGCTTTGGAGCGAGAACTCGGCGAGCGCGAGCGTAATGTTGAGCCCAAAACTGGCGGTCCAGAGGTTGGCGTCTTCGTCGCCCGACGGCGAGAACTGCGTAATGCTCAAGACGCCGACGTCGTCGTTGAGCCACGCAAAGTCCACGGACGGCTTCTCATCCACAAAGTTGTGGTGCGTCAAGTGGCGCTTGAGCCGCTCGAAGAGGTGCTCGAGCTTGCGCGTCTTGAGCGTCGGCGGCGCGCGCCCAGGAAACGCCGCGCCGTTGAGACCGACCCAGTTGTACGTGACGTTCTTGGACGCTCCCGTCGTTGGGTGCGTCAGCGTGTAGCTCACGCTCGTCTCGGTCGGGATGTCGAACGTCGAGAGCGGGCGAAACACAAACCAGCCGCGTCCTAGAGTCAAAAATATCAGTGTAGCAGTGTTTCAACGAGACGGCTACCGGTCTCGAAGCCCGTGACGGCCATGTTGAAGCGCGTGCCGTCGTCTTTGAGGAGCCCAATCTCGTGGTTGGCGAAGTCCCGAAGCGCGTCGATCGCTGGCTGTCCGTTGATGTGCGTAATGTCCCAGCCGAGGACGTCGTTGTCGCGGATCGCGTCATCGTTGGGGAAGAAGGTCTTGTAGATCTTGACTTCGTTCTGGTCCGGCGTGTCAAACTGCAAGACCTGCGCGTTCTTGCGGCCAAAGCTCTTGAGGCTCACGGGGTGGAAGACGTAGAACGACGAGTAGAACGCGGGCTTGAGGTACGACGTGTGCGCGTCACGGAGGTGCTTGAACACGTTGTAGAGCGCGCCTTGGAAGGCCGCGTCGTTGGCGTACGTCGTGTTGGCCACAACCGCAAGCTCCGCGTCCAAGTCGACGGCGGGGATCGTGTACGGCCCGAACGGATGCGCGCTCTTGGCGAGGTCCTTGAATGCGTAGCTCGGCAACTAGAATAGCATATGACGACCTCGCAATGTGTCGAGCGCGTACGATCGTGCGGAGGTGCGCGATGGCCGCGTCGCGGTCGGACGCGTTGAACGGGATGGCGGTGATGCACGCCTTGAGCTGCGCAAGCGTAAGGAAGCGGTGGTCTTCGCACACGCTCGTCGAGGTCGGCTCGAGACCCTTGAAGAGGATCGGGCCCGGGCGCGACGCCTGGAGCAGGCCAAAGATGGCGCAGGCGCCCGCGAAGATGGCCAGCGCGTGCTGGAGCCGCCACGGCTTGGCCGGCGCCGACTTGCGCGGAACGTTGATGAGGCGCAGCGACTCGGACATGACCAATGCAAAACTGAGCCCTGAAAGAGCAAAGTGGGTTGCACATGCATTCTTGTACACTCGCTGTTTGTAGGGCATAGTAAAATCGAGTTCGTTTCATATGTTCGAGAGGGTCGTTTTGTATTGTTTTGACTATACCATAGTGAAATTGATATGTTTGCTTGGACAGGCGCCATAGTCAATCGAAGATCTGGGGTGAGCGGTCACGAGCGGCCGAAGTGCAAGGTGGGTGGCACCATGTGCTGTAGGACGATCGACTAAACCATCAACTATCAATAAGCCTGGACGACAACTCAACGAGGCAGAGAGCTCGCGTCGTATAGTATATTTCGACTAACTACGGCGTTGTGGCCACGGCGTTGGCTCGAGGAGTCGGATTGAAGCAGCTTCAAGGGCGAGGCTACTTCAAGTCCGACGGTGGGATCCGCGACGTTCCGACCTTCGATAAAGAAGACGTCACGCTTCGATCCGCATCTCATGCCCTCCAAGCTTCCGCTCCATGCATCGACTGCGGGAATGCACCGACCGCTGACCAGCACGCAGCTCACCGGAGCCGACGCCTAAGTGCGACGTCGCTTGGTGGACAATGGCGCCGTACCATCAATGGACGCAATAGCTTCCCGGGCAATCTGACGATATGTACCCAGCGGCAGTGATAGATGTGGGGCGAGGTGGCTGCCTGCAAATTCTGCCCGACCGCTGGCGGCAGGCGCTGGCAAGGTGCCACATCAGAGGGAGGTAACCGAACGCAAGACGAACTAGGAGGACGTTCGCAGCGTCGAGCCAAGGTCAAGATCGGACATGCACTTTTCATTAAATACGATAAATAGACGTCCTTTCAATATCGCCGCCGGAGGTCGTCCCACTCAAGCAGAGCTTGAAGGACCGTGAGGACGTCCTGGGCGACGACCGTGCCAAACTCGATCGCTTCGAGCGACGGGTACTGCGCCAAAACGCCTTGGAGGTTCGCCATGTGGCAGAGCCGCTGGAGCATTTCCGGTGGCATCGAGAGCCCCAGCGCGTTGGACGCCAAGAGCTCTTGGTACTCGGGCCGCTCGCGCAGCAAGATGAGCTGTCCCGGACCCGTCTACGCCGCCGTGTGAGCACATATAGAAACATAAATATGGTCGCACCATGTTAGGAAAGAAGCGGACTTCGAGCTTTGCGTCGCAGAGCACCTCGTTCATGATGAAGAGACCTTTGGACACGACTTGGCTCGGGTCCATCGCAACGTGGTGGTTCAAGTTGCGCAGCTGCGTCGACCACGTCCGGGAGAGCGGTAAAAACTGCGCAATGTTGCGCAACAGCGGCTTGGGGAGGCCAAAGGCGCGCACGAGCCAGCTCCCGTACGAGGTGGCGGCGGCCGTTCGCCGCGGCAAGAGCTGCGCGCGGTTGAGAAGGTACAGCGTGCACATCTTCATGAGCATGTAGTTGCGCAGCATGCGCAGTCGGTACTTCATCAAGCGTTGTTGGTTCTACACACAGATATCCTTCAGCACAGACGCAGCAGCAATCGCTGGACATACGTCAATGGTCAGAATTCGAATGAGTTCTTCGTTGCCGCGGCGCGACGCATTGTCCAGCGCCGTCTTGTCCCGCTCGTCCTTGAGAAACATATCGGCGCCAGCGCTGAGCAGTGCGACGATGGCCTTCGCATGACCGCGCTTCGCCGCGAGGAGCAGCGCCGTACTGCCTTGCCGCTAGCAGAACGATGAGCTGCGTTATGGAGGGAAATGAGCCAAGTACCGTTTGCTTGTCGACAATGGCGCCCGCGTTGATCAAAATGTCGGCAATATCGGCGTGCCCGCGCTGCGAGGCGAGCATGAGGGCCGTCATGCCTTCCATCTATCACACGCATAAGTTCAGTAGACGTTGCATGGAAGACGCGTCGTACGTTCGCCGCGTTCGCGTCGGCCCGGTTCTGGAGAAGCGCCTGCACGACCGCGCCTTGGCCTTCTTGAGCAGCGCGCATGAGTGGGGTCGTGCCCTTCTGGTTGGCGTAGTTGGGGTCGGCGCCGGACCGGAGCAAGAGGTGCACGACGTCCAAGTGGCCAAAGTGCGCTGCCGGAACGAGGGCGGCGCTGCGCGATTCCGAGGACGCGCCGGCGTCGAGGAGGCACTGCGAGATCTCCATCAGGCCTTTCTGTGCCGCCAACAGCAGCGCCGAGTTCTTCTTGTCGTTGACTTCGTTGACGTCGACGCGGTGCGAGATCAAGAGCCGGCAGACGTCGAGGCTCGTGTACTTGACCGCGCTCATGAGGAGCGTAAAGCCGACCTCGTCCTTCGCAGCGAGGAGCGTCTGCTTGCCTCTTGGCGTCTGCTGGTTGAAGAGCGCTACAAAGTGCCGGGCCTCGCCTTGCTTGAGGAGGCCAAAGAGGCGGGTCTGCACTTGCGCCTGCTGGTCCTTCTCGTCGTCCGTGCTGTTGCCGCTGCCGCAGTTCTCGTCCGGGATGAAGCTGAGGCGCATCTTCTTGCGCATCGGCATGTTGATCGCGTTCTCGACGTCGACCTGATGGCGGCGGCTGCGGTCGTCGGCCATCTCCATCATGCCATCGTCGCTGGCCTCGATCATCGTCATGGGCTCGTCGGTGGTCGAGGGCAGCCCGAGCATCGGGACCTCGCCCGTCATGTCCACGTTCGCGTCGCCGCCCAGCGCGTCTTCGGCGTGGCTTGCCATGATCATGTACCGACGCGAATGCAAAATGACCGAGGGGTATACAAACACCAAGTGACGCCGTTTCTTTATTTGCTTGGCAAATCGGGCATCCGGATACACAACGAAAAAACGCTAATTATTGTAATATCAGCCTATTTGTATTGAACGAGGATAGTTTTAAACAAATGACGCGGCGAAGAAAATTACGCCGACCGGATGGTCTGATATCGTCGCACATATCCGGATACCGCAGCCGCGCGGTCAAGTCAGAGTCTCTGAAGGCGAGAGGAGAGAACTGCTTGCTTGACTGCTATATGTATATTAGTAAGGGAAGAAGACCGGTACGTCGAATAGCAGCCTCAGGTCGTGCTGCTATCCCGAGTCGACGCTCGCAAGTCTGCGTGCGCGAACGTGAGATCCGTGGGAATGTTCTGCGGTATTAAAATACAAGGTGCTAAAAATACAAGTTTCGGTCGCCGGCGGATAGATTAATAACATGAGCAGCATGCATCAGGCTATTTTATTTGTGGGTATTTTATTTTGAGATTCTATTTTATTGGATTGATTTTATTCGCGACCAACAGGGGTGAGCGACGCGAAGCCGAGTGAATCGACGAGGCAGTCGTTCGCTTCTACTAGCGTCGTCGCAGCGACTAACTATGTACGCAGGTGCAAGTATAATCGAGCGTGGGTTTCCACTGTATTATCGCATCTCTAGCGTCCTGTGTGAAGGATGCGCTTTGCCACATCGCTGTGCGCCGTTTTTGTGCAGCATTTCGCGCGGCCTTGGATCACCACGTTCAAGTTATACCTAAATGACGCAGTTCAGCACCAGCGATTACGCTCGTATCCTGCGATGGTGTAGGCGGATAACACACTCCAGTGGTCGCTCAAGCAATAGGAGGAGCTTAATTCGAGTGCCATCATCGTCAGGATGCACCTGTGACATCGCGTCTCCATTGGGGCACACTCAATACACGGTTGAAGCCAGATCATAAGCACTGTCACGTTGTGCGGTCCACGAAACAACGGGATTGATCGCCACGCAGAGCCGTTCTGCGTTGACAACCGACTTCATCTGCCAACAGCTTGGGAAGGTTCCGTGGAAGGGTTGGGTAGGTGCTGTAGGTGACTTGAATGATCGATTACCACACGTACGGGCACCTCTAGCAGCAGATATACACGTGGTTATGGTGTAGCTAGCCTCGCATCAAGACCATGAGCACCTAACTACCGATCCCATGGACAATTAATACTAAATTTCTCACACGCATCACCAAGCATGACACCAGAAGTAGAAAGCTTCCAGAAACCAAAATCGACGCTATAGCCCGAGTCTTCCGCTACAGAAAGTGTTCTCTAGCTGCGCGGACATGGGACCTCGCTGTTGGCGGATGTCAAAACCGCGCCAACCGCCAACTTCAACTGGCACATTATCCGGACGTTCGTTGATTGGTCGAAGCGTACACCAATCGTCCTATCGGCCCATCCGAGCAACAACAGCATGGCGGCGAGCAGCGTGAGCATGTGGGCCGGCAAGGCGATCGTCGAGGTCGGCGACCTCGTCATCCTCTTCGAGACGCACAACAGCGTCACGTACGCCTTCATGGAGAAGGACGGCTGCTACCAGAACCGCCACGGCGCCTTCCACCACAACGACATGATCGGCCAGCGCTTCGGCACCAAGGTCTACTCGCGCATGTCCAAGGGCTACATCTTCATCCTCGCGCCGACGCCCGAGCTGTGGAGCAAGGCGCTGCGCCATCGAACGCAGATCGCTTTACGCTCGATGCGAGCGCGATCCTCTTCAACACCCACTGCGCGCCCGGTACTTTTCCCAACCTCCCATTGACCATTCTTCCTCATGCGAGTCGTAGGCAAGATCGTGGTCGAGTCGGGCACGGGCAGCGGCGCCCTGACGACGTCCTTTGCCCGCGCGATTCAGCCCAGCGGCCACGTGTACACGTTCGAGTTCAACGCGACGCGCGCCCAAGTCGCCAAGTACGTCATGGCGTGTCGTAGCTCGCAAATGAACCGCACTCGTTCGTGTAGGGAAGAGTTTGCTGCGAATGGCCTCGACAAGGTCGCGACCGTCGAGTGCCGGGACGCGTGCGAGCAAGGTACATCGCTGACCTCAATGACCAAGATGCGATGTCCATGTAGGCTTTCCCGAGCACCTCAACGACAAGGTCGACGTCGTCTTCCTCGACCTCCCGTGCCCGTGGAAAGCTGTGGGCCATGCGAAGCGCGTGCTCAAGACGGGCGGCGCGTTCGCGTCCTACTCGCCGTGCATGGAGCAAGTCCAAAAGACCTGCGACGCCCTGCGCCTCGACGGCTTTGACCGTAGGCTGATGCGTCACCTCCAACGCTCACGCGCGCTTAGGTATCCGCACGATCGAGACGCGGCTCATGACGTACACGGCGCGCACCGTGACGCTGCCCGTGCCCGACTTTGGCACGTCCGACGCCGCGGTCGCCAACGCGATCGCCGAAGCGTCGGGCGAGAAGCGCAAGCGTATGCCGGAGGGTCCCGAGGCGGAGCTTCCGACGCACACGCTGGCCAAGCGCGACGAAGAGATGCGCGGCCACACGGCGTTCTTGACGTTTGCCTACAAGTTTTAATAGGACGCGACGACGATGCCAAAGCTTGTCACTGCGTGCAGGTCGTACGTGGTTCAATAGAGGTGTGCCACTGGTAGATGGTTTAGGTTGAGCTGCGCGGTGGTCCCGTCCGACGCGATTGGATCGACTTGATTGGATCGACTCGACGCCCAAATGACAGTATGTACACATGAGGAGGAATGTGCATTGGGTGCCGGATCCGACCGCGTCGGTCCACAGTCTGCAACCGATGCTACAAAGTCACCTGGTGGCACCTTCAAGCGCAGTCACATGTTCGTTGAGATGAGACCGACAACCAGGATGGGAGGCTCGATCATCTTGCAGAACTGGAAAAGAAAGGCCATGCGTACTACTGTACCGCATCAGCCAGCAAGCCGCATCTTCGTGGCTCCATGAAACATCCAGGAAAGACCGTCCTGCCAGCAGCTGCAAGGGCGCTGACGCGCGTCCTGTGACGCCTGCCACGTCACCGCTCGTCGAAAAACTCGCGCGAAACGACCAGCACTCTTGACGATTCAGCCAATCCGCGCAAGGCGGGAACGATAGACCAAATCCGGATCCGGTTCACTGGCAAGATAAGCAACCGGCGGCTGCCCACAGTCGCCCATTTGCCAGCTCGCAAGCCGCCAACAACAACACCGCGCCGTACGAGGCCGCGCGCCGCCTCGTATGGCGCGGTGTTGTTGTTGGCGACCCAGGGGCTGCTCTCGACCCACCTCGTCCCGAGCCTCCAAGTTGCGGCCTTCAATACGCGAACGCATCGCTACGACGACAGCCTCCCCGTCACCTCACTGATGGAACGCTACCCGTCGGGCGTCGTGCCTGCGCAAGACGTGCTGCGGGGCCACGATGTGCAGAATCCGCAACCGTGGCGGGACGTCCTTCCCGTAACCATCGACAAAACGTTGCGCGGCAACTTCATGACGTGCGATTTGACGCCCGTGCTCTCGCACCTCGCTGTCGCCAGCGCCTCCTCGGCGCCTCGTTTGACGCCGACATTGTCAGCGCCGAATAGCTTTGGGGCGCTGCTGGTCGTCATGCCGACCTCTCATCGTGGCGGGCAGGTGACCTTCAACGTTAAGGGTTTTTCGACACCGATGGCCGCGATCGCGACGAGCGCCTCGTACGCGGCGGTCCACCGCGGCGCGACGATTTTGATGTCGCCTGTCACGGCCGGGCACGTCGTCATTGCGGTCTTCGATCTCGTTGGCAAGCGCCCGCTGGATGAGGCGCCTCCGCTCTCGCCCGAGTTTGAGGCAACGGTCGCGGCTCTCGTCGACGCGGCGGCAGCGCCGGCCGCTCACAGCATGATCGGCTTTGCGGTCCGCCCCGAGGTCGATCTCGGCTTCTTTGATCTCTCACATCACACTCGTCACGATGGGGCGTTCCTCGCAGCGCTGCTCGAGTCCAAGGTCTTTGACGTCGCTTTGGTGGTCATGCGGCCGTGCGATGAGGTCGAGAACGCTCCCCTCGAGATTCTTCATGGAACGATGCACCCGGCGCTGGGTCTTGCGCCTGACGCGATGAAGGGATGTTGCAGCACATGGCTCCCGGCCTTCCTCGGCGACGTTTGCGTTGAAGAGCTGGCTCGTCCTCGGGTGAAGACGTGCCTCGTCTTTTGGCCCACGGCGCATCGATCGCGCGCGCTTGGCGCCGACGTCGCCGTCTTCTCTCTCGGGTCCATCGCCGACGCAGGCCTTCGCCGCCAGTGCGTTGAAGACGCTCTGGATGTCATGGATCACACGGCCCCCCAAGATTTTTTGTGCGACGGGCTTGGACCGTACGACGGCAACGGCGGCTGCTTCTTTCGCGACCTTGGCCGCGGCTTGAACGACGTCGGCGACGGCGGTCTCGTCGCGCGCTTCTGGACCTCGAACATCACCCAGATGTGCGACAAGGATCGCAGCTTGTTTGCGTCGACGGTCCATCGCGCGCTTGAGCTCTTTGGCGCCGACGCCCTCATGCCGGCGCTCGAAGCGCTCCTCTCTGGCATGACAACGAGCTGGTTTGGCTTTGCGAGCGGCGTTCGCCTTCTCGCGGGCCTCGCCGGCGTCTCGGACAACGCCGTGTGCTTGCGCCTCCCGCTCGCGCGCGTCGACGAGCTGCGTCTGTACACGGCGCTCTTTGCCGAGCCGCCGTCGCAACCGCGTTATATGCCGGGCGAGTGCTGCAAGGAGCTCTTGCAGGCGACGCTCTTGGACGCCGTGCGCCTCGAAGCCTACCTCGGGGACGGCGCCATGCCGTCGCGCTTGGCAGCGATCGTCGCCTTCAACACGAGAGAGTTCCACCCGTGGACCGTCTTGGCACCGGTGGTCCTCACGCTGGCGCCGGCGCGCTTGACGTGGTGCGACGAGCTCTTGCGTGCCACCGCCACGACCTGCGAGGTGCCATGGAGCCCCAGCGACCGAGATGTCGCCAACGTGCTTCGTGCTCTCGATGCCATGGACGCGCTTGACGTTCCTACGTTCAAGCGTCTCATGACCATGCCATGGCGGATGCCCATGGTGCGCCGCGAGGCGTTGAAAGGGGTCGCGGTGTTCTTCAGCGAGGTGGCGGATGCGGCGCCGCGGTTCCTCGCCCACGTTCCCCCCGCCAACGACGACGACAAGCCCGCGCCCAAGCGCCTCAAGTTGGAGTAGCTGCTCCCCTTGCTGCGTCTCTCTTCTGTCTGCATGTGATTTGCATCCTAGTAAAAGTGCGTCGTTCTAATACATGTCTCTCATTTTGCCTTTCATGCTTCTTGTGAATCGCACAGCATGGGCAGCTTTCTACTAACTAAAGTCGAGTACTTGTCGAGCCTCCATGCATGTCAACAAGGAGGGTCAAGGGCACACATCGTATTCCTATTGCATCATCGTCTTAGTCGATCGTCCTAGTCGATCGTCCTAGTCGAAAGGCTAGTCGCCACGGTGCTGGAAAAAGCCGAGAATGTCCTTGATGAGGATTTGCCAAAAGACGTCGACGACGACTTCGGCGACAATGAGCCAGATCACAATCCACTCGAGCTTCGTGTCGTGCTGCCGCGCGAGCTGCTGGCTCAGCACGTCGAGCCTACAGTGCCACTCAGATCTTATTGCTTGCACGGTATCCAGTGCGTACAATTCGCGCAGAATGTCGAGGCGCGTGTTGAGAATGTGCACGCGGCTGTCGACGTCGAGGTACTTCATCATCTTCTTGTAGAGCGGCTGGTACTCGTCGTCGTCCCAAAAGAAATCCGGGTCGTCGAGCATGTCGGAATTCAGGTTGATGTCGCTCCGCTAGACGCAATAACATCTTGAAAGATTGATACAAAAGTGACATGAATACCTCGATGAAGAGACGCCCAATGAGCTGCGAAATGTCCTTTTGCGAGTACTTCTTGATCTCACCCGTCTCGGCCAGCGTCTGCGGAATGTGGCGCGTCTCCTGGATCGTCTCGTCCACGCGCTGCTCAAAGACGTCGAGCTTGGACGACTGCGCCATCGCAAACGAGATCGCAATCTTCTCTGACGCGCGGAAGCTGCTCAGCGTGATCGAGTCGTTGATGACGCTAATAATGCGTGATGAGCACATGAGGACGCATCAGCATCATGGCATCTACCTCGTCGCTTCGCCGTAGCTAAAGTCCATGTCCTCGACCTCAACCTGCTTGACGTAGCCCTTGGAGAAGGCGCGGATGGCTTGGATGTGCGCTTGCTCCTCGGCGCGCGTGAGGCCCCAAAAGACCGTGCAGCCCGTCGCAAAGTAGAAGACGTCTTTCCGCTCGATGCTCAGGTTCTCCTCCGTGACCATGTCGCTACAAGCGCAAGGTGAGCCGACGCGCTCGAGTGAGGGGAGAACGAACTCTTCGCGATCTTCGGTCGCGCACGACGAGTGGATGGCGCCCATGTACATCTTGTGGGTCCAGCCGTTGGGGCTGAGCTCGCCGCCCGGGAGCTGGCCCGTCTCGATGCGCTCGAGCCACTTGAGGAGCTTGAAGAGCTGGAGCGAGTCACACGTGCAGTACGCTGACACGCGCATCTTGGGCACGCTCAAGTCTTGCTACAAGAGGCTTGAGCCATACGCGCATGATTGACTCGGAGGGTTCAACGTACGCGAAACTTCTTCATGTTGCGCATGCGCGAGCGCCGCGTGTACCGATTGGCATTCCGCGACGCCTCAATGACCTGTTGGGGCGACAGGTCATTGAACTGCGAGAGGTAGCGGGTGTGCTGTACAGGGTTGGGCTTGAGAAAGTTGTTGAAGCCCGTGCGCGGCTTGGCGTGCGGCAGCACGACCGGCGCCGGCGGGTATTTCTGCGGTATCGTTATCGCAAACATGTCCTGGTCGCCCTCCTCGTCGCTCGAGCTGTTGTTGGTCGCGTTGTAGTGGCCCGCGCCGTAGTAGACGTGGCGGCGCGTCGACGGCGACATGGCGCTGCCTACATCCCAAGCGATGAGCCCACGCCAGGAGCAAGAGGAAGACGCCTACTGTTGCCATAGTGCACGGCCGAGTCCGAGTTGTAGTTGGTGGCCGCCAGCTGCTGCGGGCGGCTCGCCGGGATCAGCGGCGACTCCTCGTTCGGGATGTCTTCGCTCAGAGACGTGTTGACGCGCATGGTCCGGGTCACGAGGTTGGCGTGCGGGTGGTCGGGCGGCGGCGTGGACGGGCCGGGCGTCGCGGGCTGGGTCGGGGACTGAATCTTGGAAGTGTTGAAGCCGACGGTCGGCAAAAGGTATTTTGACGCGAGCAATTAAATGCACCCTTGCTTTGTATGGACGCCGAATAAAATTCCGCGAGCGCTCCCGGCCCTAGCCTGGACCATACAAACGACAAGTCTATTGGATATCATGTGATAGAGGTTTTTCACCGAGCCGTTTGCGCTGGCAAAGCACTGGATCGCATCGGCTATGTATACAAGAATCCATCGGTTGGTACAGTATATGTATTGTGAGAGGTTTCCACCGCAGCCGGGAACCTGTGACAAGCTGGAGCTCGCAGATCTAATGGCTGGGACCACGTGACAGAGGCGACGTAATCGCCGCGGTCGATGTGCTTTTTAACTGGTGCGGGACGATCGCAAGGCGCGTCGCGCTGACGCGGGCCAAGACAAAGCGACGGAGACGATCCGAAGGCTGCTGGAGGACTCTGCTGGCCTAATAGCCGTCTAGGCTCGTCATCGCGATGGCTCAGCAGCGGCGACCATATGCCAAGTGGCTTGGGCGATTCCTCCCATGTGCCGTGATCCAGCGACGGCGAGACGCGAGGATGGGTCGCACCTTCTAGAAGGTCGTCGACAACAGTGTCGGAGGTATGGCTCTCAATGCATGCTCATGCTCACGCACCATGGTACGGCGGCGATGCGTGCGTGATATCGACATTCGCGCCGGCGCGTGCCACGTCAAGATCCCATCAAGTTTCGCAGTTTTCAGCGTTTCCGGTGCTTCAAACGACCCGTCGACACATACTCGTGGCTGCTGACGTAGCGCTATCGTGCGTACTATAGTACGCTGCTCAGTTAGTCGGTACCAGTCGATCGGTCCAAGAGGCGACGGCGGTCACGGGGTCTGGCGATGTACCCACATCCGACGGCGATCTTGGAGGGACGCCATCGCACGTGCTTTAATATCCGGCATGCATTTGGGTCATCCGGATAAAGCGGCCTTTTTCGATTTGCTGGTCGACGACGACGAGGCGCATGGAGTTCCTCGTGCACAACATCTCGCACTCGGACCTCGTGGTCGAGCTGCACGGCAACGCGGGCCTCGCGACGCACCATGGCAAGACGTCGCTCCTTGCGCGGCCCAAGTTCAGCCTCTTCAACATCGTCTCGCAGTGCATTGTCGCGCGGCTCGAGACGCTCTTGCCATCGAAGGCGTCGCTGGCCTTCGACATGCACGAGTACTGCAGCGCCACGTCCCACCCGATTGGCTTCCGGTCCATGACCTGCGTCTACCATGGAATGCGTCGGCTCATGGCGCCTCTAGGTTTGGCGCGCATGCGATTGCACTGCCGTCGGCGTCGCTTGCGCTCTCGGACTTTCAATTGCGCTGCTCCGAGGCGACGCAGCTCGAGGTTGAACGCAGCTGGTCGAACGTGTCGATCTCGGCTGTCTTTCTCCCGCTCCTCGGCAGCCTCGTGCCCAAATGGATCCAAGTGTTGGCAGAAGTGCACTCACAAGACAGCCAGCAGCTTCTGTACCTCATCTCCGGCGCTGGCATTCCGCGCAACGCCGCGCATTCGATCATTGGCAACTCGACCGAGTGCACGGCGGCGCTCATGACGCAGTTCGTCTCGACGTACTACCCCAAGATGCACATCACGCGCGTCCACTCGGGCTCCAACATCTTCCGCTACAACGACAACGTGCAGTTCATGACTCGCGAGTTGCGGCCGCTCCTCGAAGCCCACCGCGATACGCTCGTCCAGAAAGTCGGCGATACGTGGAAGAGCCATTTCCACTTGACCATCTCGTACGCTGACGGGCCGCCGGCGCGACTGAGTGCGCTCAACGCCGCGCTTCGCGTGTACACGCCGTCGTATTTGCATCTCTGGCAGCTCAAGACATTCTGGCACGAGTCCAAGCTCAGCCTCGACGACGTCGACTTTCACCCGTTCGAGGACATTGAAGCGACGCCGCAGATTGCATTGAGTGACGTCAAGGAGCCGCTCGTCCAGCGCCTCGTGGACGAGATGAAATCGTTCCGCGACTGCTTCGTCGACGGCCAGCACCTCGGCGAGGTCGGCAGCTTCTGGCTCCGGAAGTCCCGCAAGCCCGTGCTCGCCATCTTGCTCATCCAGAAAACGCTGCCGACCGGCGAGACGGCGCTCGTCGTGCACCGGGGCATGAACTGCGAGGTGTCGATGCCAACCGGATCGCTCTGCGCCGAGCGCAATGCGATTGGCAGTGCGCTCGCCAACGACCCGACGTTGCACCGGAATGCGCTCAAGATGATCGGCGTTCTCAGCGTCAACCTGGCGCCGCCGTCGACGTCGACGTCGTCACTGCCGTTGCCGCGCACCGTGTCGCTGCCGACACCGATCACGCCGACCGTCCGCGCCGCCACCGACTGCAGCTCGCCCAAAGCCAAGAAGCCCAAGCGCCCGCGCACGTTCTCTTGCGACGGTACGACGCCGGCCGTCGCATCGGCGCTGGCCGAGATCAGGTACACCTATCATGTTGCAGCTTGTACATGAAAACTCAGAGGCGGCGTAGTGCGCCCAAGAAGGAGGTGCCGGCGCCCGAAGATCGCAATCCGCTAGGACCGTGCGGCGCGTGCAACGAGTGGCTGCTCAAGATTGCCGAGGCCAACCCAAGCTTCAAGATCATCACGTTCGGAAGCATGGAGTGCGATAGCATTTATGTTCATCAGTTGCTCTAAGCGACGATGCGAATACACGTCGTCACTATCTATCTATCTATCTATCTACTATCTATCGATCGCTGACGGTTGTGGCAGCCAGCCGAGCGGGCGCGTCGGATGAGATGCGGTCGTCGCTGCAGAAGCGCTTCCACCGTGGATGGAGTGTGCCCCAATGGCGTCACAGGTGCATCCCGTCGATGATGGCCCTCGACAAGGAGCCTGTGTACGACCTCGAGCGAGCTAACCCTCGGCGAGTGGGGTTCACCACGGGATGGATCTCTCCAGCTCACTCCCAACGATCAAGTGCTGGTGGTACTCCCACGCATTCAGGCGTAGCACTACATATGCGAAGTCTTTGAGCTAGGTTCTGCCAACTCGATTTCAACGCGAACACGTTTGACCGACACTGTAGATTGATTCATTAATTGATTGACTAATTCGACAAGATTCCTTTAAAGCGCGAAGGATGGCGAAGACGACCGCGGAGGAGAAGAAGCGGCGCTCTTACGCACGGTCCAAGGCGTACCGCGATAAGCACCGCGAGAAGATCCGTGAGACAAAGAAGATCTGGTGCAAGAAGAACCGGGGGGCCATCAACCAGCGTCGTCGCAAGAAACATCTCGCCGACCGAGCTGTTGCAGTCGGTCGGCGCGATACCTCTCGCAACGACGCTCGCTGATGGGCCCTCGGTTGTTCTCGTGCCAGATCATCTTTGCGGCAAGGATCTTCTTGCGGTGCTTGGCGCGGTACGCCTTGGACTGCGCGCAAGGGCGCCGCTTCGTCTTCTTCGCTGTCGTCTTGGCCAAGGGAAAATAGAAAATGAGGGTTCCATACTCTGATACAAACCTGCGGCGGATAGGGACCGTCGTATCCGAACCATCCGGATGACGTTTCTTAAAATTTGCGGATCGTTGCTTGGGTCTCTGCGCATGTAGCGCTAAAAGCATAGCTTTTCAATGCGCACGAAGAAGTCCCTTGCATGCGCACACTTTGAGTGTACATATAAGTCCTTCGAAACGCATGCAACGAATTCAGATGTGCACCAGAACTATGCAAGCTTAGAGATGGCCCAGCTGCGTTGGGTGCTGAGCTGATCTGGTATTGGTTAAGATATGGCCAATCACTGCTCCAGACTTCCACCGGCGCGATCAATTACGGCCAATCACTGCTACAGACCCCACTTTCCACGGGCGCGATCCATTGATCACTTTGTGGTCAATCACTGCTACAGGCCCCACTTTCCACGCGATCAATTTGTTGTCTCCGACGGCTGATTGGTAGAAAAGGAGTCGTTGCTTGGCGACTGCTTTTTGCTCCGAGAACGTCAAGGCCCGGGGACGCTTGTCTGCACGGCGCAGTCTCGGACGTCGAGAAGGCGGTGACGCCGGACCTCAAGCGCGATGGTGGCGACCTCTTCTGCATCAACCTTGGCAGCGACCAGCACTGCCTCGGCGGCTCGGCGCCCGTGCAGGTCTACGCGCAAATCGGCAACTGACAGGGAAGACGCCAAGCTCTTTGCGGCCGCGTTCACGACGCTCCAAAGCTGCATCCACAACCAGTAGCTCTCGGCCGGTCACGATCGCTCGGACGGTCGTCTCGTAGTTGAGCACTGGGATCATGAACACCTCGGCCACGAATCGATCGCCTTTTGCCTCGGTCGCGCCGTGGACGAGGCGATGTGGTTGGCGTTGCGGTGCCAAGTTGACGTTGCCAGAGTCGAGACTGCAGCATTCGCGCCACATCTTACGTGGTAATGACGCGACACATGCGTGTTCCATGTCGTTTTGAAGAGCATAGACGACGCGTGTGCATTGATGACTTCTCCATCAAGGTTCTCGCTACCATGCACGAAGCAAAATAATTCTAGTACTCCACCCTTTTGGTTTCGACGCGAGAAAGCTTGGTGGTTTGCGTCGAAACCAATCCATTTCTGCGCAACATCTATCTACCACCAACTCTATCCACCTAGCCATGCCACCTACAATTGTAGCTATCCATCGATGGCATTAGCAGCATTGGCGATCGCCGATCGGCCTTCACTCTCTTTCATGCGCAGAAAACATCGCATAGGGCTTGTCAGCATGTAATTGTTGTCGCACCCAGAACGCAGTTCGATGTGGAAGCAGCCGACGGCGTAACCAACTGCGTTGAACATCAGCCATGCGTTGCGCTTGATACACACGCAGCCAAATAATTTCACGCACAAAGGAGCGCCGTCCGCGACAAGCAAGCACGGTAAGCTGCGCGCCTTGCGTACTCGGTACCTGCCATGTTGGCGCCTATTAATAATAGCGTAGCAGCTGCTGCTGACCCGATTCAAACATATCAGGGTGCGCTGGCTGAGAAATCGAGTACTGGATTTATGCGAGATTCGGTTATCGCAACCTTCGCGCGTTGATTCTATGTACGTCAGGGCGACGACGTCGCCGCGGCTACGCACCGCTTTCCGTTCGTTTACCTCGCGTCTGCGCCACTCGATCCTATATCTTCAACGTAGCACATGCAAAGGGTTGACCAAGTCCTTGCTATAACTAAAAGCTTAAATTACTAAATAACTACTAAATTGGGATCTACACTATGGGAAGGCTCTACTCGGCCGCGAGGAGGCGCGCGACGTGGTACGGCGTCGGCGCTTCGAGCAAAAGCACTTGGACAAAGGTCTCGAGGAGGCAGCACATTTGGTGCAAATACTTGATGTCGAGCGACCGGAACCACGACGAGCGGTCGAGCACGTCCTTCCAGGCACGGAGGCTGCGGCGGTTGCCGTTGATCTTGAGCGTGTTGACGAAGCGCTTGAATGCCGCGTAGCGCTTCCAGACCGTGTGGGTCGCGTCGCCGAGGCAGTACTGGATGCAGTACTCGGCGTGGCGGTCGCTGCCGTCCGGCATCTCGACGATGCGGAAGCTGCGGAGCGTGATCTTGGCGCCGAGCGGGCGGTGCGGGCTCAAGAGGCGCATCCACGGAAACGCGCACTCGCCAAACGGTGTCTCATACAGAAGGCTCGAAAGCGGCTCGAACGTCTTGAAGACGTCGCGCTTGCCGTCAATGCCACCAGAGTACAAGAGCGACTGGAGGTCGCTGGCCCCGAACGGCGCAACACTGTTGGCTTGAAGCTGGTTGTCTTCGTCAATGTCTTCGAACCAGCCCCAGCCGCCGTCGTCGACGTCGGTCGTCGGCTCGTCGACGACGTTGGCATGCAAGTCGGTGTAGATCTCGTTGAGACTGGACCGGATCGAGTTGACAGCGCGCTGGACGCGGCGGTCCGTGTCCGAGAGCGCACCGTCCGAATCCACGGGCGCCGACGACGACCGGCGCACCTTCTCGGTGGGTGGTCGCGCGGTTGGCGACGCAAGCACGGGCTTGACGACGGTCGTCGTCGCTTGCAGGAAGGGGTTCATTCGCACACCGCCGGTCGAAAGCATGCTTCGTCGAGGTGCATGTAGTGATGGAAGGTAGAGGTGTGGTTCGATCGTCGACCAAGAGCTTGGTCTTCTTCTCTTGCTTGGAAAATGAAATAAGCAACACAAGCTGCGAGCTTCTCAGGCTGCCACCTGGTGCGCGCTTCATCTTGGGTTCGGCGCCGCGTGTTGTGTTACACGATATGTCCCAGAGACCTCTCTGCCAGTGACACTCTTCTTGAACATGCGGTTTGTATACGAGAGTCTCCTTGACTCTCTTTCCGCGCCTTTGTGGAGAGTCAGTTTTTAGCCTGCGTTCAGTATAGTATACACATGTCAAGGCAACGACGCAACAGGTCTGGCGACTGCAAAACCACACGGGCGTATCCGGATTCGTGCTTACGTTTGTGGTGGTATTCGATTTTTATCCGGAGATGGTCCGCGCAGAGTAGCTCACGTTTGAAGTTCAAGGTTTGGCCTAGGTGGCGCGCAATATGAGCGTTTGTATGGCCACTTGCAGTTCGCAAGTTCAAGGCGCGGCTTCAACCCGCTTCCAAGGCCTGTCCCACCCGTCGCCGTCCCACGCCGTGCGCTCCTGCGTCCTGATTGGACCTAAAGGGAGCGAACTCGACGGCGATGGCCGGCGTGTCATCCGTCAACTCAAGGGCAATCGCGCGAGGTTGGACAAAGGGCCACGATCCGCCAGATAAAAAGAAGATCCGCGTGTCGTGTCAACGGCGCCTCTGGTCCGCGACCGGGATGATACTCGCCACAAGAAGCGCGACCTCGCGGTCGTGGTGCTGGCGACGCGACGAGAGTTTGCAAGAAGCTCTAATGCAGCCAACAAACGTCGTCGAGTTGCTCTTGGCTAACTGAGAACGACGGTCGATAAAGACAGGTCGACTGACGCACGCGTTACGCAGCGGGAGCATTGGAATCTTGGTCACACTGCGGCTTTCCTTCTCGGAGACCAAAAGGTATTGAATTAGACCCGTCGTGATCACGACCGCTTGTTGCATAAACCTGGCCACTTGTCCGCGCATGCAATTCATTGCGTGTGCTTGGACAAGGATGCACTTATTAATAAGGCGAGTGCGATGGAGATGGATGGACCTGGTGCACGTAGGTGCTCGGAGCAGTGTCTTTGTGCAAGCTGCTGAAGAGGATACGAGCCACCCAAGAAGCTCCGAGAGGCCAGTCAAATCGTCGTCGTGTCGAACCGCAGTAGCAAGCGCAAGACGACGGGCGGATTGCGCTGGCAGAAGAACCAACGCGTTGGATACGCGTGCGAGTGTACATTGCACGTGCTTTGGAACGAACGCAAGACGACGTGCTACGACATGGCGCAGGCGTAAGGCCGCGACACCACGAAAATACGTCCGAGTCGCACCTTGCCCGTCGACCGATTCGCATGGCGCCGTGCCAAATTTGAGCGCCCATTCTTCTTGGCCGCAGGAGATCCGGCAGGAGAACCCCATCGCACGCAAGCGCTGCATGCATATTCCTGTTGATCGCATGTAGACCGACTCTGTCCTTGTCCTCGAGACGGTCGCCAGAAGGAGCGCCAGCAGCTGCCTATGCAAGTACCGCAACTTCACCAAGCGCTGGATCATAAGCAAATTGCGCATGAGAATGGAAGTCGTTTGTATACAATACCAGTTAGCTCTACGGGTCGCACGAGGCAGCAGTCGTGTCGCACACCATGCACGCGACCCCATGGGCGCGGGCCGCATCATCCACGCCTCTGCCAGCACACGTGGTGATGGCGACGACACGCATGCAGAGCAATCATCTCGATAGATTGTAGTTCACTCCAGCGTCGGCGCGATGATGCTACAACCGTTCGCATCTGCATGATAGAGGTTGATATTTCTCTGGGAGAGAGCGACAGTACTCGTTCCAGACTCCTATCTGGCATTCGACATGCTGACTGCATCGACCGGCTATTGCACAATCAATCAATCAAACGTGTTCGCGTTGAAATCAAATTAGCAAAAACTAACTCAAAGACTTCGCATACGTAGTGCTACGCCTGAATGCGTGGGAGTTGGCACCAGCACTTGGTCGTTGGGAGTGAGCTGCGCACGGAGAGATCCATCCCGTGGTGGACCCCACTCGCCGAGGGTTAGCTCGCTCGAGGTCGTACGCAGGCTCCTGTACTCGGACCACCCGACAGAGGAGTGCAAGCCGTCGGGTGTGTTTCAAACGAAACCGTCCGAGCCCGCATCCTAAGGCACCAGGTGCCCTTGAAATGGCGTCACCCAAATCCAGCCAAAATGGCTATTGCACAGACCAATAATATACATATATGTGCGAGTGTGGTAGCTTGCACGTCTCACGTCCGAGCCTTTGCGACGCAGACCACGTTGCGAGTGAACGATGACATCGTTCACGCAGCAGACAGACCTACTACCATAAGAGTGGTTTGTCGGTTGTTGCTAGCCATATTGATGCCATCCCGAGCGTACACTCTAAGCACGCCTGGATGGACACCTTCCAAAGCCAACGACTGCATACATACATCGAGAAGACGGCGTGTTCAGACGCTCAATCGCTCTCGGAATCCGACCCGTAGTACCGGTCGAGCCCACCGTTCCAGGAGTAGTAGCCGCCGCTCGGGTCGAAATGCATGTCGTCGGTCGTGGCCTCGTCGTCGAATCGACGCGTCGCCGTGTGCTGCGTGCGCGGAACCTGCGCAGGGCGGTCGGCTGGTCCGTCGTCTTCGCGCTCGCGGCGGCGGCTCGAGGCGACGTACGACTGGAACTCGGCGATCGCTTGTTTGAGCGTGTGGTTGGGCAGGAGCGCCTTCGTCGCCAGTTTGCCGTTGGTGATCGGACTCGAGTCGTGCGTCTGAAGCCACCGAGCGATCTGCGCGCGCTCGTACGTGTGGCCATCGCTCGCGACGACGGGGTCGACCATCATCTCGTGGCCGATCGGGCATCGAAAGGACGCGAGGCTCGCCATCGCTCGATCTCAAGCGATGAAACTCGGCCACAAAGTAGAAAAGGCCGTGGTTTGTATCAATATAAATCAACCAATGAACGCCCCGTTTTTCTTGATATCTCTCTATGATTCGTCAAAAATAGCCATCACCCAACGTAAGGACTCGTCAACTGCCTGCAGCGAAGCACGCTCACGTTAACAACGTGACCGCCAAGCACCACGCACCAAGCACCAAGGCGCATTGGGGCCGTATCCAGCTACAGTGTTGCCCAAGGAGGCGAGGCTTGGCGTGTACTATATTTTTCCATGTGAGGTGGAGGAATGCCATGTACATGTGTGTCAACACCACTGGCGAGCCATCTTTATTGGCTCGCAGAAATGCACCAAGGGACTTGGTCAATTTTCTATGTACAGCATCAACTTTACTACAAATTGTACGCTCTCAAGGCGGTATGCACGGCGCCACGGGCTCACGCAGCTCAAGGTCGATCGAGACGCTGGACGGAGCGAGGAGGTGCGTGCACTCGGGGTCGCTGGCGGCCTCTGGGGGTGCAATCACGAGCAGACGCAAGCCAACGCCCACGAGAATCGCCGCGCTACAGACTGCGAGCGACGTCATATTGAGACAGACTTGGTTGACAACAATGAACCCGCCAAGGGCGATCGGAACCACCATGGCGACGCTCAGCGCAGGCGTCGAGAGGCCCACTACGTGCAAGTCATTGCCTATTTAATGAATCCCATCCGCATTTTTGTACTACCTTGAAAGGGACGGGGGAGGTCCGGGTGGATGTAGCGGAGGCGCAAGGCGGCAACGCTTTCCACCAGCTGCGTCAGCGACGAGAGGCCGTTCGTGATCCCCAGGATCGTGCTAAAGTCCACGAGACACATGCCGACGCTGATGGCAAGGATGCAGAGAATGGCTCGACGCGGAGTCCCTGATGGCCCCGTGCGCCTAGAGCACCTTTGTTAGGACGACTCATGCATGCATAGATAACGACGACATACGTGGCAAAGCAGATGGGTGCGAGACCCATGTCAGCCATGCCGGCGAGGCGGTACCCGTTGGCCGTCGTCTCGGCCAAGTAGAGCCCAAAGCTGCTGGCTGTGTTGGAGAGCGCGATCCATGCGCCGAGACCCGCGCCGCCAATCGCCGTCGCAATGACCGGGTAGCTGCCGTCACTCCACGTACGGTAGTCGGGGTCGTTGACGCCCGCGGCCGCCAGCAGTGGCAGCAAGTACGACGCGATCGTCATCGCCAGCGCCAAGCCCATCGCCCGCGGAAACGTCCGCGTCGGGTCGGCGACGGCGCCGGCGTACGCGCCAGTCGCGTCAAACCCGCGAAAGTTCCAGCAGAGGAGACCAAGCAGTTGCGTCCAGTTGGGGTCTGGACGCACGACGGCCCAATGGGCGGCGTCGATCCGGGGCAGCGCGACGACGCAGAGGAGCGCAAACGGCGTCAAGATGAAGAACGAGAGGTACACGAGCGCATGGCCGACGAGCTGGATGCCGAGGAGCGACGGGATCGTGAAGACCAATGCGACGCCAAGGCGGTAGAGCGTGCGCGGCAGCCACGCCACGTCGGGCGGCACGAACGTGTCGACGACCAAGCACGGGTAGACGGTCGCGTCGACGACGCTGGCCAGCCAGGACCAGTAGCCGACAAAGAAGCCCATGGACGGCCCGAGCGCGAGGCCGACCCACGTGCAGAAGCTGCTGTCGACGGGGAACGCGCTGCAGAGCTCGGCAAAGAGCATGGTCGTCGGGAGCGAGTAGATGACGGGAAAGACCAGCAGCGCAACGAGGCCGATGAGCGGCCCGCACGACGAGACGAGCGCTTCGCTGCCGAACGGGCCGGCGCAGACGCTAAAGTACGTGAGCAGAGCGACGGCGACGACGCCGAGGTCGCGCCTCGAGGCTTCGAGGTGCATGGGGCTGCTGCAATGCAAGGTCAACTAAGCCCTACATTCTATCCGGCTCAAAGATACGCTGTCCTACTTTGGCCATCTGGTGTTGAATTCGGACTTTCTCCCTTGTTGTAGGGCTTTGTGCCCTATTTCAGGATCCGATCAGGATATGGGTGCGTGATGGAGTTGGATCCGTAGCGGCCTTGTCCGCACAGAGGGCATCCCCCGAGCGATCAGTGAAGCATCTTCGGCGCCTACGCGGGTGGTCGACGTTCGAGGGATACCATTACCGTTGGCACTGATGGCGCCGCGGCAATGGCGCCTAATTAGGATACGAGGCTATTTGGGTCACGTCTAAAATAGGTCTTTTGATGGGCATCCGACCTGAGGTTGCACTTGGCATCCGGCGTTCAACTTGACGAGCATGCGATCGTGGTTGCTCGGACCGTTGCTGCTGGTGGCGGGGCTTCGAGCCTGCGCCTTGATGGCTGGTACAACTGCAGCGAAGGCACGTTCTGGTCGCGCACGGTACCAGCATCGGCGCGCCGGCTCGAGGAGCTCGTCGCGCCCTTTACCGACGTGAGCGCGGTGCCGGCAACGGCGCAGTGTGGCCAGTACTTCTTGCCGCTGTGCTACGAAGGTGTGTGCACCAGCACCGAGACAATTCCAGTGTTTGTCAAGCGCCTCCCGGCCACGACGTCGCCTCGCACGGCCAAAGTGCTCTGGGTCCTTCAGGGCGGCCCCGGCGCGTCGTCCGTCAACAGTACGCAATCTACTCTCCCAACGTTATTGTACAAATGCGATTGGTGTATAGTGGAACCGCTCATGATTGAGCTCTACGAGCGACTGCAGCGGACAGTCACGGTCATGACGATGGACCATCGGGGCACGGGCCGCAGTTCTCGCCTTGAGTGCCAAGCGGCCCAGGCCATGACGCGTGGAAGCCCGAGAGGCTCTTCGATTGCGCTATCCGAGCTCCCCGACTGCCTCCGTGACATCAACTTTGTCTACGGTACATTGGATGAGCAAACAAGTCTTGAGCTACGGCGGCTAGGTGCCGGAAATGCCGCGGGGTTCTCAGTCACGAGCGCGGCGCGAGATATCTTGACTGTCGTCGACAGCGACCAGTCGAAACAAGAGGTAGATGCATGTGGCCTTTCCACCGTCGCGTTATCCCTTCTTTCTTTTAGGTCTACTTGTACGGTGTGAGCTACGGAACGCTCTGGGTCGAGCGCACAATAGCGCTTCAGAACGCACACTTGAAGACGGGCACCAACATCCGCGGCTACGTCCTCGACGGCGTCGTGCCCCACTCGGGTCCAGATCGCCTCTTCTTCCACAACTGGGACCGCGACATGAGCAACGTTGGCGCGCAGTTCCTCGACCTGTGCCACAAGGACGCCTACTGCCGGTCCAAATTCACCAACCAGACTCTGCCGGCCACAGTGCAGTCCCTCTACGCGCGCCTCGCGACCAAAAACACGCTCTGCGCGTACGCGAATCGCGACAGGATGCACCTTTCATTTGGATCCCGTAGGAGCTTTGTCGATGCCACGTTCGGCGGCGTCAAGGGACTGAAGAGCTTGTTTGGATCGCTCCTGATGCGATCCACCTTGCGGCTTCTGATCCCAATCTATGTGTATCGCCTCGACCGTTGTTTGCCCCATGACATGGAGGTTTGTCGTATGCCAATCCAAAGATGAGGTTGACAAAGCATGTGCACAGATTGTCACTCGAATCGAAGCCTTCCTGACCGACTACTACTATGGCGTCGACGACGATGACGACAACCTCGACTCGGAGATTCTGTACGCGACGGTCGCGTACGCCGAAATGTGGGACAAGCAGGCGTCGCCGACCTACGATTCGATCAAGGAGGTAGGCACCTCTATGATGCGACGCGGTAGGCACACACGGGAGTAGCAATTTGAGTCTGGGGTCATGGGACTCCGAGAGTACACGCAGTTTCCCTATTACTGCATCTACACGGCCGCCACGTCACGCGACTGCCTTCCGTACACCGTGCGTCCGCTTCATTTCTGCAGCTGCCCATTGATGTGCCCACGCGTCTAGGCCTCGCTCAATGTCTCGTGGAGCTATCCGCTCGACCGCTACGACAACCAGCGGGTGCGTTTTCTAGCGACGTCTTCTTGACCATCATGACGATGCCGTAGCTGCGCATCCCAACGGGCGCGAGTGTGCTTCTCCTCAACGGCGGCATGGACCCACAGACGCCGCTGCATGCGGCACAGAGTCAATTCAAGCAGTTCCAAGGGAACCAGAAAAAGCTCATCACATTTCCGTACGCCCCCCATGCGATTTCATACGTGACGTGGATGTACCAGGTCCGTCAAAACGTCATGGCTATTTGAGGCGATGTCATCGTGATGCTACTGTAGCGCCCGTCGACGTGTGGCGCAGAGCTCATTTTGTCGTATGTCCGCGTCAGCGGCATGCTCCATGCGCTCGACACCTCGTGTACAAGAGACGTACGGGGCTTCACATTTGAGCTCACGGCGGCGTCGGGCCAGTCGCTCGCGGGTGTCAATGACCTCTATGACGGTATTCCGACAACAATCTCTGTGCCCGTCAACGCTACGAAAATGGAGCCGGTAACTCCACCGTCGCCAACCACTATGCCATCGAGCACGACTGCGATCGACGTGGGGGCGGCGCCCGTTGCAACGTCGGCGGCCGGTGGGCATTTCGGCGACTCGATGGCGGGTCTCTTTGGCTGCCTCTTTGTCATCGCCGCCGTCGTGGCCGTCAAGCTGTACCGCGAGAACAAGGCGCTGCGAGAGCTGCATGTTGAGCTTCGCGACGATGCGGACGACGCCGCCTAGGCTAATAGCTAGTGGATAGTATCAAGGGAAACTGGATAGTACATATTGGATAAGGCACTCCGCTGGGTGGAACGACGACGTTAAATCACATCAACCCGAGAAGTTCCGTGAGTTCTTCGGTCGTCGGCGCGGGTGCCGCGATTGCAGCGTGCGGGCGCTTCTTTGTGGGGGCGACCGGCGTCGTCGATTCGGTCTGCGGCGTCGCGTCCATTCCGTCTCGTCCACCAATCACGTCTGTCGGGACGCCACGTCCCATTTTATCGCAGACACCCACGCGCCACCGTCGACGACATTATTGATTATTCACGCCCGAGTGACAGCGTCGCATCCTACGACCTCGCTGGCGACGACGCTGTCGCTACTGAAATAGTTATACTAAGAGCTAGTTGCTCGATCGCTTCTATGACGCGTGACAGAGCGTGGTGCTGGCGCTCGTTGTTTACAAGGATTTTCGCCCTGGAGTGCTTCGCCACCGGGATGCATCCAGAGACGATTGCAAAATCACACGCAGTTCTTATATTATCATCGAGAGGGGTGGAGACGGAAGGCGTCGTCGACCTACTTGACCGAGATCGAGTCCGACATGACAGCGATGAGGTCTTCGGACGGGGCTTGGATTTCGTACGCGCAATGGGCCGCGAGCGTCGTGTGGTAGTTGCTCAGGAGCGCCGCTGCCGCCGTGTACGAGACGGGCGCCGGCGGGTTCATTGCGGCTCGCGACGCCGGAAAGCCATTGGCGGATGCCACCGGCGCCGGCGCTTCGGCCCACGCCGCGACGATCTCACCGCGTTTTGGTTGGCCTGCTCGACCTCGAGCGGCTCGGGCACTTCGGAAATGTCGATGAGCGCATGGGCCGTCTTGTCGACGATCGCGAGCCAGCGCTCGGCTTCGGTCAAGTGCTTCTGCGTTGCGCTCATCGACTGCGAGCTGTTGCGGTTCATGTCGGACTGGAGCTCAACGTTCTTCTCCATCTAAGAACGGGTCAGGATGGCAATGATATTGCGGCAAGCATCGAGGACCTCGAAAAAGTGCTGCAACGAACGGTCGTCGGTGATCCCCGGGATCTGCAAGATGCCATCGAGGTACTGCTGCAAGCCTGCTTGGCGCTTGGAGAGAAAGCCCGGGTCAAAGCTACGAAACCACATCACGTGAGCGTCATGTCCCGTGCATCCAATGCACGTAGGCAGAAAGTGTAGCCGGCGTCTCAGTCGATGAACGAACCGGGACGCGCCGACCAGACGCGTACCGCGGCCGCGCGTGTTTGGGGCCGCCGAAGCTTGCAGCGCCAGGAAGGGGCGATCGAGACACGGCCCGCTTGAGATAAGATCAAGCGATTTGACATTCCTCCGACACGAAGCGTGTCGTCCTCATCCTTCGTATCCACATGGCCGGCCGCTCGACGTCTCGATCGCGCCCTTCGCTAGCGGCGCACGCGGCGGCAAGAACACGGCGCGGCCACGATCGCACGCGCATCGCGACGACGCCGTCCCTCTCCCCAGAGAGCATATACATGCATGGCGGGTCCCGGTCGATCATCCTGTCATCCTTGACGCCTCTCAGCGCATGCGACGTACCGGCCAAACCACTGCTTCTCGGGCAGTCGCACGCGGAGCTCGCTCTGGAAGACGCTCTCGAGGCGGCAGTGGAGCTGGTCAAAGTCGCTGAACCGGCGCGAGATGAGCCAGACGACGCCGCTGCAGCTGATCTAGGAGGCGTGGGCGTGGCGAGCGCATCGGAGGTTCGCGCACCTGCACGATGAACTCGGTGTGGTCGCCGACGGTCTCGTTGCCCGTGATGAGCGCGCTCACGTTCATTTCGCCGCCCCGAACACAAAGTGGGGCAAGTGGCGTTCTACGGATACGCATCCGGACGCTTGTAGTCGACGACACGACTAAGCACGAACTACAGTGTAGTCGACTAATCGACTAATCACGGAGTATAGTGTAGTCGACTAGTCGACTACAGTGTATTCGACGAATCGACGAATCGACTACAACTTTGCGGCGAAATGGTGCACCATTTGATGGTATACAGGGCAGTTGCGAATACACTCAACGGCGAAATAAACTTACGACGGACACAAGCTGTCAGCATTGCACGAGCGGCAACGAGAACGTGCGAGGAAGCTTGCGCGGTGGTGGCGACCACGCAGCTCGACCAGGCTGATGCTTCACACCATGACGAAGGCGGCGTGCTTCGTCATACCTTTGCATTGTCGTGGTACCGGTAGTTACGCGGCATAAAGACGGCGAGCACAAAGGCGCGAGCTTCTGCGGACCTAGGAGGTCACCGCGTGTCCTAGTGTGTCGATAGCTGCGGACCGGTTTATGCACGCAGCGGTCGCATGCCATCTGGTGCGACGTGCAGAGATACGAACGAAATCACGCATTCTCGCAAACCGGGAGCCGAGCTCATTCTCGCATTCACAAGATGCAGCTTATCCAGTCCTTTCTTCTCGTCCTCGCTGCGTCCGTGGCGGCACTCACGCCCGCGTACAATGCGACGCCGGCACTGCTGCCCGCGTGCACCGAGCCCGCGCCGCAGTCGTGCGCTTTCTACAACTCGTGCCTCGAGGTCGCCCACCCGTGCGGCGCGCAAGGCTACGCGCTTGGCTTTGGCGAGTTTTACTGCAACAAGTTTGCGGCCTACAAGGATAAGTTTACGGCCAACGGCCAGCAGTGGATGTACAACACGATGACGTGCCTCCAAAAGAAGCTCGGCGTCGCGCTGAAGGACCCAAGCATGACCTGCGACGCGATCCAGACGTTTGCGTTCGACTCGCACCCCGAGTGCTACACCAACAACGGCGGCCCGAGCGTGTGCGAGCTGAGCCCGCTCAAGGACTGGACCACGGTGCTCCGCGTCGTCGGCCTCAAGACGCTCTTCAAGCTCGACACGATCAAGAACGGCGCGTCGACGGGCATTGTGTGCATGCACCAGCTCCTCTCGTGGGCCAAGAAGCTGCCGTATACGACCGACGATCCCATGGAGCCCAACTTGGATTGGTTTTTGTAAACATACTTCATATATGTCATGCATTCCATCTTTCCAAGACGCAACTGTTTTCGGATGGACAACTTGTCTGCAATGAGCGTTGCGAACAGGTGCCTTGGCCATACAAGCATATGTCGCATGCATATGTCGCATCCAAGTGGAACTCCGCAACACGGATCTGGCTCACGACCGCGGACGCTGCTGGTCGATCTTGTAGCTTGACGATGGACCGCATAGAAAAAGAAACCCATAGTGGTAATCCTGGTAATACAGCGCCTGACAAGTACGTATACTGCGTTCCACGCAGTTACCGGCGGTAATGCATGGTTTGCACACCGACAACTACCATCCAGTTGGTTGGTCGCATGCCAAGGGCGAACGCCTCCTGTGCTGCCACGTCATATGAAACTGCAATCAGTCATCCCCACCTGTCCCCATTCGATGGATAGTCGTCGACGCGACATCAAACCATCGATGCACGAGCTGCGCTCAGAAGTAGCAAGTAGAAACCAATATATGAGACACAGTAGTTCGTAGTTCCGCTAAATGCTCATCAGGACGCTACTGCGGCCACAACCAAATCGGTCAGCGGAAAAGGCCCGGGTTCTCGACGACGACTTGGTTTTGGTCGGCGTTTTGCGCGGCGAAAAAGTTGCTCTTGGAGAGCGTGTGGGCATTCGCCTCCGAGTTGGCGTTGGCGTTGGCGTACCCCTTCTTGTTGATGTCCGTCTTTTCGATGTACTGCGTGTCGGCGTGCTGGCGTACATCCGAGGCGCGGCCTTGGTTGGTTTCAATGTACGAGTCGCCCTTGTTGAGCGCGCTGGCTCGTTTGTTGGCGGCAGACAAGGCCGACGGCACAGCGCGACCACCGCAGCCGTTGCCAAAGCAGCCACCACCGCAGCCGTTGCCGACGCAGTTGCCGCGAAGATGACGCACCCATGGTGAGAGCACTGCGCCGTTGCCGCTCGTGGCTGCGCTGTTCTTCTGGAGCGCATTGTTCTTGGCCGTGGCATCTTGGTAGCCGCGGTCGTTGGCCTCTTGGTTGGCATGGTTGCTGTTCACGACGAGCGACTTGGCGACGCCCACATTGCCGCTGTTGCTGTCGGCGTGGTTGGCAAAGTTGCTGCTCGCGCGCTGGAGCGAGTTGGCCTTGGCAACCGCGTCCGTTTGCACCTGGGCAAAAAAGAGGTTGCCCGGATACCCAATGGCCGAAATGGGTTGGGCAGACGTCGCCGCGAGGCAGAGCGAGACAAGGAGAATCGAGATCGAGTGCATGGTCGAGTGGAGGGCGCGAAGCAAGTGCGAGAGTGAGGTCTTGGCTCTCTCCTCAACGTTGCTGGCGCACGCGAATTCGTTTCGTAAAGCATGGACGATTTATATGCCCGTGTTGCGCTGTCTTTTGGACACAAGAAATTGGCCTTTCTCTGTTGGTGTGAGGCCTGTCACTATATTTCGAGCTGATTTCAATCGAGCTTAGACCTGAAAAAGCCCATGGACAGCGCAACACGGGCATATAAATCGTCCATGCTTTACGAAACGAATTCGCGTGCGCCAGCAACGTTGAGAAGAGAGCCAAGACCTCACTCTCGCACTTGCTTCGCGCCCACCACTCGACCATGCACTCGATCTCGATTCTCCTTGCCTCGCTCTGCCTCGCGGCGACGTCGGCTCAACCCATTTCGGCCATTGGGTATCCGGGCAACCTCTTTTTTGCCCAGGTGCAAACGGACGCGGTTGCCAAGGCCAACTCGCTCCAGCGCGCGAGCAGCAACTTTGCCAACCACGCCGACAGCAACAGCGGCAATGT